ACCAAACAAACTTTGGCTCACCTAGTAGCCTGTATAGAGGGGCTGCTATCTCATTGAAGTTCTTCACGAAGCGACTATAAAACGCTGCTCTACCCAAGAATTGTCTCAGTTTTCTCTTTGAATTCGGGGCTGGAATCGTTTTAATCGTCAAAATTTTCTCCGGCAGTGGTTTAATCTCACCATTTCCCACTTTATGTCCCAACAGAGTAACATTCTTTTTGGCTATCTGAGACTTGGTTTTGTTGACGCGTAGTCCAAACTCTTCGATGCGTCGCAGCACGGCTTCTACATGGTTGACGTGATCGTTTTCGTTTTGACTGTATATGACGAGATCATCACCATAAACCTCCACGTTTTTCAAGTTCTTAAGTAATAGCTTCATCAGTCGTCTGAACGTAAACGGTGCACCTGCTAGTCCAAACGGCATGCGTTTAAATCGATATTGTGTCTGACCCACGATGAAAGCCGTCTTATCTCTATCACCTTGTTTTATCGGTATCTGCCAGTATCCTGAGCGAAGATCGAGAACCGAAAACACATTCGCACCTTGTAGGCGATCTAAAGTTTCTACCACTGTTGGCATGGCACACGGTCTTAACTCTGTCATACTGTTTAACTGTCGAAAATCAACACAGAATCTATACTTCCCATTCGCTTTTTTTACTAACAGCACTGGAGAGTTGTACGGGCTATCAGCTTCCTCAATAATATCATCTTTTAACATCTCTTGCACTTGTCGCTCCACTTCGCCTTCCAGATGACATGGAACTCTTCGCGTTAAAAATGACCTTACTTTCGGATCACTTAACGGAATTTCATGATTCACCTTATCGCAATAACCGTATGGGTCGCCATCTCCAGTGAACAGATGATCGTATTTATTAATTAACTCTGTCACATTGTGTACCGTCGACAGCTTAATCGCTGCTATCTCGCTGGTCTCATACATGTTGATATGCCCGTATTTCGTGATCACCACTTGCGTGTCGATTATTGCACCAATCTCACGCAGAAAATCCGCTCCTAATATCGTTCGCTGTAGTTCGGGTACAACAATGAAAGGAAACGTCACCTCGCAGCCACCAACAACGACCGTACAGTTCGATCTACCCGTGATACGCAACACATACCCGCCTACTGTTTGTACTGTCAATGAACACGGACTAACACTCTTACATAAATTCTTATCTATTAACGACACGGCCGCCCCTGTATCTATCAAACATACTACTTCTCGATCATTCACTCGCAACTTCGAATACAGAGCCCCTTTCTCAATAGCCCCCACTAAATCTAGGTTCATACGAAAGAAAGAACAAGCATTATACCGTCTGAAATTTTTTCTTTTTCGCCTTTCTGGGCAGTATCTTCTCCAGTGTCCCGGCTTACCGCATTCAAAACACCGGTCTTTTCTATCAGCCAACTTTAACGCCGCCACTTCCCGCTGCAATGCTTCAATTTTCTGCTCATATTCGTTTGGTTTTGGTTGGTCTATAGCGGCTACCGTTGTGCTCAGCAGCTGTCTGGTCACCTTCGCCAGCTCACTAATATCCATCGGCTGCGTTGCGTTAACCAGTTTTAATCGCTGAGAAATGTGGTCTGGGACACTCTCGATGAATTGGGAAGACAGTAACTGCGCTTCTGATTCTTCATCTAAAGTGGGAAGCGCGCGTCGAAGTAGATTAGTCAGTTTCACCGCCAACACTAGCGGGTCTCCATCAGGTCCAAGCTTCATTGACCGGAACTGCTGCATTGCTAGCTGTCTGTCTGTTTCGCTGTCAAACTCGGACACTAGTCGTTCAACCAATTTCTTCCAAGACGCTGTGCCATTTGACCTGTCTACGCTGTCATATGCAGCCTTCGCTCGGCCTCTCAACAGCGTCCCCAGGACAACTGCCTTCGCCGCCTGCTCCTTGACACCCACCAGCTCAGCAACGGCCTCGAAGTCACGTAAGAAGCTCCGTATGTCTCCTTCTTCAAACGCAGCTGGCCACGGGATCTTCATCTTTTTGGAGGCAGCGACACCAAATGTAACAACAGAAGACAAGGGCTGGCAACAGATCGTTTTATTACGAAAATCAACACGTATTTATATATATTTTATGTACATTAATAAGGCTTATGCAAGCAGAAAAAGGCAGTCTTCTGATTGGTTGTTTCTCGGAAGTTAAGCAGACAAACACAGTCTTATGATTGGTTGTTTTCGATATTTCTCGGAAAGTAGAGCCATCTATCTGCGAATCATATTTGTCCACATTTAAGTTTGCTGTGATTGGTTGTTGAAACAGCCTTGTTCATATTTTCTCACGGCCCATATTAGTGACCTAGACATTAACGTAGATTAGTGTCAACCAATCGGCTAGCAGCCTGCTCTCACCACACTACTACTACTACTCTCACTCTGAATTGTCTCCGATGTTATTATTTCAGTCGTCCTGCTTGTCATTCAAAATGAGTGTTTGCTTTTGTAACGTTAAATTCTGTGTCATATAATTTCCCACAGTTCTAAGTAACGGTTTTATTTTTATTCTATTTGCCTGCTAATCCTATTATTTTACATCCCCTTCCAACATCTATACGTCCTATGAATTGTTTTACCAACTGACATTTAAGTGTGATTATAATCACAACGATTTTAATTGCATTTCATACTACTATTATTATTTTATGTATTTACACCTTTGATTCAATTCCCTCACAGGATATAATTTCTTTAATAACATATATATATGATATATGGTTTTACCGCATAAGGAAGTCACATCTGAAACCCTCTGGCGAATTCTTAACAAAGAATGAATTACGGTGGCATTTAAGCCTACAAACTTACCCAGAGATTAGCCCTGTAGGTTAAAGGATTCTACTGATCCATTTAGACGAAAAATGCAATCTACAAAGTATCTTGCAATGACCAGTAGATAGGGGGCACTCAGATTTTCGGAACATAAGAATTCAACCAAGTGTAGAATGATTGGTCCCACAAAAACAAGCAGTTCATATAAAAAACGCAGTATTCGCAATTTACATATGAAAACACAATTACAGAATGGGGTGGGGCAGATCTACAGTCTGAAAAGTAATCTAGATAGGTGGAGGGAGATGTCGATTAACGAATGCTTGTTCATTGAGTCTACACCTAGCACGTGCAGTGGAAATAACCCAACACCAATACCAGATAGTTGAAGAATATTAGTATCAATAAAATGAAAGGATAAGAAATAGTGGAATTATTTATTTTTTATTTTTATTATTTTTTTTTTTTTGATTTACAGCTTGATTCCACACTGTATTTTTGGTACTAGTATGGAATTTTCAGCATGGATATCGGTAGCCCAAATTTTGCAGGCCGACCATAGATATCAGGAGTGCGCCGGTGTGGGCTCGAACCCCGGACCATGTGCATGGTCAGCGAGAGTCCTAACCACTGTGCCACCGACGCACAGCTAGGAAGTAATGTGATTGACATGATATGATCATGAGAAATAAACTGTGCCAGAAACGAAATCAATAAATAATACTGAATCCTTGTTTACTTTTATCAAATAAATTTATTCTATGATGAAATTACACTCCTTGTATAGTGCTCAGATTGTATTCCTATATGATTGGAATTTTAATGACTACAGTTGAAACAAAGCATGCATCTTTCAGTATAAACAGCCAATCATTTTCTGACCCGTCAATATAATAATTACTGTAGCGTTAAAACTCGTTGTGATCACCAAATGCATTGGCCATCATGTTATGAGTATGAGAGGTAATTAACTGTTTTATTTCCCAAGCAAGGTGATCTCAATGGTGCAAATGCTCTTGTACAACAGTATTAATTCGTAGAAGAGTTAAAAATGATTCGTTATCGTATGGTGGTTACATAGCATGGTGGTTCAGGTGAATGACAAAACAGGCTGAATTTCATTTTCAAAATAGTGAATGTTGGTTTGCTGTTTACCAATATTAACACTACAGCAAGAACAACAGTGGTTTGTGCAGAACAATATGGTACCATCATTTATTTCGTCGGCTTATAATCAGCTGCTTACAGCCTAAATAAATTATGAGGTTTAAGTACAAAAAAGTGTTAACATACTTGCAAATTTTACACGTTGTCAGTTGACAAAAAGTTCCACAATTAGTAAACAGTGCTCAGAAAATTGCGCTTATATACTTCTACACAGGCAGTTCAAGTTTAAACAAAAAAATTAATGTATGCATATAATGGTAAAGAAGTTACGTGATGAACATGAGATGTACGTTAGATGCAGAGTGACTTATAAGTTAGGTAACAATGTACTGAGTTCAACTCAAATCACAGAAAATAGAGACAAGCAAGATTACAGATTATAAAAGGTGTGTGAGGTTAAAGACAAAGATTACGCAATCAGATGAGGGAATAAAGATATCCAGTTACCAGGGCAAGGAAAGACTAATAACTGCTTCTTTCTGAACACATAAATCTGGTTTCAAGCGTTTGATAGAAATTGCTTCGGCAAACTTGAGGAGAATGTAGCTCCTTTGTCTATTGATAACTTTGAAGGATTTCTCGATTTCCACCTCATGACCTGTGTCGAGGAGATGTCTGGTAATAGTGCTACTATAAGAGTTTGTTACCTTGAGACGTAGGCTTTTCAGCACATGTTCAGAAAATCGAAGGTGTGCCCTTCTTTCTGTTCTCCCAAATAAATGATGGTACCATATTATTCTGCACAAGCCAATGTTGTTCTTGCTTTATTCAAATTAACAATAAAACATACATATAAGACAAATTCTTCTATATTTAAATAACATAGAGGTATTATATGATGATGAGGTGTTTCAAAATTAGCATCATGCAAGACCGAAAGAAGACTGGAAAGATAATGATGATGAGATATACAATCTTACTAGATATTAAAAAATACATTGGATTTATTCAGTAAATCAAGTCTCGTTAAACTATGATACGATGTTTTCATTTGAAAAACCTATTTATCTGTATATTTTTTTTCTGTATAAAATTCTAGATGCTAGTTTCTTGGACGGAAGAAGAAATTTCAAAGTACTCTTGGAATCCAAAGTTACAGGTAAATTGAAAGGTTAAACTGTAGACTTATTTTTATTCTCTTTTAACCAGTCACAATTTGCTATGATTTTTGGAAATTTAACAGAATTTTTATTCAATTCAGTCGGATTGAGTTGTATAAACATTCATGCTGATTAATCTAATAACATTATGTGTGTAAAATTACATTTAGAGCAGAGCAAGTTGGTTTCTGGAGAATAATTCTAATATAGGTCAGCAGTTTCAAACCAAATAGCTTAAGTCGTGATGTTGGCGAATTTCGACATCTTCACTTAGTAGGTTACTGACAATGTTATTCAGTAGTGTACTACGCTAGGGAAAAGAAAATAGACGAAATAGTTATCTCTTTCACTGGTTTACATATGAAGGATTACAGTTTATCTTCCATGAATAACCAAGTCTATTAAAATGAGTTTTTTTATATCTATCATCTACTTCCATTTCTGTTGGGATCACTGTAACAGTTATTGTCAGTTAAGAATTAGTGAATATCTGTTCCATTTTCAATGTGGCATTCTGGGTTGTTTTATCTACTTATAAAATTTATATACTACAGTGTGATCTTCTTAGAGCTAACATAATGAAGGATCACTCTTAATTCAAAGATATGACTTTGAGTGAAAAAGTAAAACAAATTAAGTGGATGTAAAAGAAGTCTTCCTATCAAATATAATACGAAGTCCTTTCCACCTTCGTCTGTGAGTAAAAAGCTTAGGAATGAACAATAAATCGGTAGATAACCATTAAGATTATCCAAAATGTAGTGGTGTATCAGATATTTTCAAGGAATATCAATATTATAAAGGGATCAAGTTTTAAGCTACCTAGGTCCAAAATGTTAAAATTCAGATACTTGGAAGTATCTGTTAGGAAGTATTGCATCATAATTTTAAATATTTAACAGAGGTCATTATATTCAGAGAAACCTTACCCTTTATGAGAACATCCTCTTGGTTGTATACGATTACTTAGTTATGCAAAATAGCCTATTACAAAACTGGTGCTTAATGACATGGTTTAGAAACTAAAGGGAAGTATGCACTTTCATTATAATAAAGGTCTTTGTATTTCTCAATGAATGAAAAACAAAACGATATTGTTTTTACTGACGTTTCGCTATTTAATACTGATAGCTTTATCAAAGTATTATTAAACCGGAATTTGCAAAATCCACTCAGTATATATATATATATATATATATATATATATATATATATATATATATATATATATAGCAAAGAGTTAAGGGGTGAGAAAGTAGGCTTAGGTCAAGTTAAAAGGACATATTGAAAGTCAAAATAACAATGAAGATCACTAAACCAAATAACAAAGGTAATAGTACGTCTGTTATGATATCAAAATAAAGTTTACTAACTGGATCATCGTTCGTCAGTATGGGGTCATTTTTCGTTGTCACATTGGCCAATTGGTAAACTTAACAAAACCAAGTGTAGATTGGTGGATATGATGTGTGTAAAGTTATAAAACAGCGTGTGTTTATATAATTATATTGCTTGTCACATTCGTGTTGACTTTCTCACTTCATGGGGAGGAGGGTGTTGTCACCAGGTCAAATTCTGTTTTAGTCCATCATTCCTTTTCAGACAATTTGGATTTCACTTGACATGAAGTGCTTCTGATATTAGAGGTTCTTTGTGACTTCTGAAGTTTTTCTAGATTATTTCAATATTGTCAAAATCAACTTTGTGGCCTGATTCTATAGCGTGTAGACCTATGGCTGATGAATTTTCAAGCTTTTATAGTTCAACCGGATTTCTTGGTGGTCGAATAGATGCTCTACGGTGTTCATTTCTTCTGATTTTGATTTCTTGAGATGTTTGTCCGATGTATATCGCATCACATTCCAAGCATTTTATTTTATAGACACAATTAGATAGATAATCTTTCGGGATTTGTTCTTTTATATGGACAAGGTTGTTTCGCAGTGTGTCTGATGTTTTGAAGAAAACTCTGATGCCGAGTAAAAACAATATCGTTTTGTTTTTCATTCATTGGGATATCATATACCCAATGCCCAAATTTTTTCAAACCGTTAAAAGTGAACTTGGTTTAAACGTATATATGTATGCACTTTATTGAAGACATAAATCCAGCTGATAAATGCAAATTGCACATGAGTAACTGTATGAGATTTACCCGTAATTTTCGAGTATCTGAAAAAAGTGATGAATAGTGATTCCATCTTGTCGTGAACATAAATGTAGAAAGGTCCTAGTAAAAAGGAAAGAAACTGATTCCCCCTCTTTTATATATGTATAGAAATAAAGTTATTCTTGCATGTTTGTTTAATAAGACAATTTAAAGTTTTCATGATTTTGTTTTTTAGTCGATTAGCATAAAATATAATGATCTTCGTGAATTGAAACCAAATGACAGCCGGCTAACTGCTCAACCTGGTTATCAATTTAATGTTATGCTAAATAAATCTGGTGTCCACTTACCGGTAGAAGTATACCGTGGAGGTATGTGAACCCATATTTGCGTATTATTCATACTATGACTCTACTATGACTTATTCCATTCAAACTGTGTTGAAATTAGAAAATATAAGTTAACCAGAATGTTGAGTACCTCACAGTCAGTAATTTCCATTTGCGTTAGTTTGTCACGGTTTCCACAATCATCCTTACATCCTGACTTCGCAAGACCTTTTCTTGAAAAAAAAACAAACTAAGAAGAGTTTCTTACGATACGAATCAGTTAAGTTTGTTGATAATACAAGTTCATTCACATCGGTTCGTTTTATCTGGTTAGTCAATCTAAAACAAGACCAATTACATAGGTGTTTTTAGAAAAAAAAGAATTTTCTCAATCCACTGGTTTACTATAGTGTAAGAGTCATAGAGTACATTTTTATCATTAAGAACACAATATTCAGTGAAGAGACTCTTTTCAACGAATTTATTATCAAGCTGTACAATCGTATATAAATGGTTTTATAAAGAAATTATATCCGGTGTGGGAATTAGGTCAAAGGTGTGAATACTTGAAATAATAATAGTAGTATGAAATGCAATTAAAATATTTGTGATTATAATCATAGTTTAATGTCAAGTGGCAAAATAACTAATGTCATATATAGAATAATACATAAGGTGTATAGATTTTGGAAAGGGGTACATAATTATAGGATTAGTAGAGGAATATAAAATGTTACATTACATGGTAGGAAATTTGATAAGATTGAATTCCATATTGTAAAAATAAAAAAATATAAAAGTTAATAATTTTGGGTTTAAAATGACAAGTGGGTCAAGTGGAAAAGATTCAGAGTAAGAATAGTAATAATAATAATGATAATAATAATAATAATCGTAGTAATATGGGAAAAGTACATAGAATAACTAGATAAACAAAATAAATAAATGTCTATTTCTCTACGGCCAAAGCAGAAGTAGGGATTGTACATACTTCTTTTGTGCACAAAGGTCTGGCTTAAAGTCATGAACTACCAAGGCCTCAGCTGTCTTTAGAAGTCTGTAATGAAGAAAACGTTGCTGGCAAGTTAGCATGGATTCTATGTATGATCTTCAAATCATGTTCAGGGTTGACCGAATGACAGAAGTCGATCAGGTGTTCCAGAATAGAGCTTCGCACATACTTCCTTTCACCCTTGTAAAACCAAGCTGGAATATTTTCTCGTATCCGTGTGGAAAGCGTTCTCTGACTACAGCCAATGTACCTTGCTCCACAAGAGCGGGTGAACTGGTAGATGCACATGCAGGCGGCCAGATGGGGGAGCTTATCTTTTACAGAGGTAGAGAACAATTTGCGGCTCGTGAAAGTCATATGCAATTTCGCTGCAAAGAACGTCTTACTGACTGATTTAGAGAGACGACTTTTGAGCATATCTGAAGCTTGATCACCTTTGAATTCTTAGTTCATGAATACTGTTTTCCTTGGAACTGAGTCGGTGACCAGTTTAGACTGTTTATCTTTCATGTTGCTGTCAATAAATCGGTTAGGGTAACCGTTTTCTGCGAGTGTGGCTTTTATGAAGTCAATAATACAATAAATTCTTATCTAATTTTGTGCAGTTTATTAGTTCTGTAATATTTTGCACAACTTGGATGGATTCATTTCATGACTATGTATATATCCTTTGAAATTAATAACTGTGTATAAGAATCCTCTCAAGGTGTTTACTTATCCGCTATAAGCTGACACTGTTGATCAGTTTTATCAGATCTCTTATATTCTCGGCTTCAATGCATGATATTTCGCATTGAGATTCAGAAAGGTATATTTACATAAACATAGGATATTCAAGAAAGAAATTATCATCATTATAAATTATTTAAATTAATCCCAGCATGTTTACGAAAAAAATCAAAACAAGATTTTTCTGAACGTTTCACTGTGCAAACCATAGCTTCTTCATCAGAATTATTCGGATTTTATTAGCCAACAAAATATATAGTCAATCCGAATAATTCTGCTGAAGAAGCTGTGGCTTACACAACGAAACGTAAAAACACTGGGATTAATTTAAATAATTTATAATAAATCAATCTGACTCCGCGCTCAAATTATTCTAGGATGTTCGTAACATCGACAGTCTGAAAACTTATAAGTTATCATCATGTCTGTAGCAATATTCACCTTGCTGAATGTACATAGTCATTCACTGTGCATTTTGGAATTTTAAACTATTTCACATAGTTATGCGTCAAACCAAATACACTGATACGAATTTTCCGATATTACATCTATTTAGACCCTTCAGTGTTTCATACTTTACGATGGACTGAAGTTTTGGATGCTATATTTCCAACTGAACCCAAATTACACTTCACTTATTTTGCAAGTCTAACAGGGATTCTACGAGTCTATCCAGGTAGGTTGCAATTCCATGTATAATGCTGTAATAAGATTGAAATTAATATGCATTTTTTTGATAATTTGAATTTTGAAGATGATTTTCACCATCAAGTCATCAGAAAATTAATCCTTGTATAAGTGAGAAGTTTAAACAAACTGGTAGTTGACTAGTAGAAATCTATAAACCAGATAACAGGTAACTGATGAACTAGCCATAGTCTAGTAACGACTGAAACTAAGTAGCATCAGATTGTTATTTCTTGACACTTTAAGAGTTTTAGATGGATACCGTTTATTTCATATGGAAACGAAACGCCAAACAAGTAATCTTAAGGTTATTGTGTAATTCAAATACAATCTGATGGTCAATACTTTCAAACCCTAGACAATTGGCTTACTGATAAACCTCTCAAGATATTCATTGACAGATAAAAAGTCTTTCAGAATCTTTAGTTCATATTCAGTTTTATTATCAAAACATATTTATCGGTCTGTATTTAACAGTGTCCTGACTAGGCTCCTGTTTTACTGGATGAGAGCAAAAATCATTAAGCGTATATAATTTGTGTTTCATGAAGGCTTCCTAAATGTGGATCCTTCTAGTGTCCCATCAATCCTTTTAACTGGAGAAACGTCCAGAAATCTAATGACATTATTTGATCAATGTAAACTTCAAGCACCAGTAGATACCAATGACATGCGACCGCATCATTGACCCTGATGCGCTCAGTGAGCAAGTCAGTGAAACCTGGCAAATTATATTGTAATCACGAATGGAATATGCTTGATGAAGTGTTATGTTTTTAAATGGGATCTCTAGTAAGTTTCAGATTAGGTTTTGGAAAGATTACTTCAAGGTTTAGACTGAGGATAGGCTAGGTTAGGTTAACCTAATAAGGGTGACATTACGGTTGGTTCGAGCTAGATTAAAGTTAGTTTAGGGATATTTTCATGTTTGGGTTAGGTTAAGCAAAGATTAGGGTCATTTTTAGGGTTAGAACAGCTAGATAATTACATGCATAGAATGTAGTTAAATTTCTCCGTTTCTCACTCCAGTCCGAAACTGAAAGGCATTTTTTATCACATTTCAGAGAAAGGTATCCTGTATAAAAGTTTCATGCCCTTTGATTCACTATTTTCATGAATTTATGTATTTTATACGCAAAAATCACCTTTATTATGCAGTTGATGCGTTTCAGGGCATTCGTCTTTTGGTACTTACTGGTGCATAAAGTTCAACTTCGCCCATTATTTTCTTCTTATATTTTATTGCAAAGTTAAGATTATGACTGTGTGAGTTAACTTTCTTTAATGACATTTCTATCTCTTTTTTATTCTCAAAGACAAGAAACATATCATCCACATAACTTAGATACAATATAGTCTGTCTTATACACTATCTGAAAGCTCCAGCTTCTAGGCTTGATAAAAGACAGTCGACAAAATGTGGCTTCAGAAAACTTCGTATGGCAGTGTCATAAACATGGTAAAATAGCTGATCATCCGATTGAAACTGAATACTTTTACTACACAGAAATAACAATTTCCTCATCTTTATTATTTGAATAAGTATAATAACTAACATCGCCGCATATAAATCAATAGTCTGAATGACTAGAACACTTGTACAGAAAAAAGTAATATCTGACGGAGGAAGATGCCCACCGGTTATTAATAAGATAACTAATGTTCTTGACAAACTAAAAAGAATCGGAGACAATGTATTTCAAAGCATTCACGTTTAGTCCACCGTATGGCTGAAACAGATAATAATAGGATTTTTTTGAAATAACTTGTATTTGACATCAAAGTTCAACTAATCATGCTGTTTGGCGTACATAAAACACTTTCATAATGTGTTGGTGTTAAAATTTCTGAATTCCTTGAGAAGTTTGATTGCATGGAGGATTTCATCATGAGCTGACATCAGTTAGAGAACCATTAGAGAGCCAACAGGAAGTACTGGACAGCTGTTTCGTCTGCCTAGTTTGACACTCTTCACCAGTACGCACCCACCAACAGGGGTTCGAACCCAGGACCTTCTGGTTACAAGACTAGTGAGCTGGTAGACCATTGAGCCACTGGGACCCGATCCAATGGTCCTTGAATTCTAACTTCTGCCAATTCACGACATAGCGCGACCATTTCTCAATGTCTTCTTCGAAGAGTTACTGCCTTATCTCCAGCCTGCTGTACCCTACTGGTCACGGCTTCCCACTAGAACCCCAGGTTAACTGCCTGAATAGGGCCAGTCGCTAGTGAGCATCAGATGAATTATCTGGTATTGATTTTGTAGGGATTTTTGTTTGATTCCATGGAAGAGGTTGAAGATGAGGCGGTAATTCTTCGAAGAAGACATTGAGAAATGGTCGCGCTATGTCGTGAATTGGCAGAAGTTAGAATTCAAGGACCATTGGATCGGGTCCCAGTGGCTCAATGGTCTACCAGCTCACTAGTCTTGTAACCAGAAGGTCCTGGGTTCGAACCCCTGTTGGTGGGTGCGTACTGGTGAAGAGTGTCAAACTAGGCAGACGAAACAGCTGTCCAGTACTTCCTGTTGGCTCTCTAATGGTTCTCTAACTGATGTCAGCTCATGATGAAATCCTCCATGTAATCAAACAAAAATCTCTACAAAACCAATTCCTTGAGAAGTATTCAATTTAGAGAAACAGGAGTTATTCTTTATCTAAAAAGGAGTATTACTTATTTTGCTCAAAGAATCAATAAAATATTCATTCACTTATGCCTATTATCATTGATAAGGGTTTAGAGAAGACCTATTTTGTCATCTGATCTTAATAATGAATGATTATCTGATTATAAATTATGCCTGGATATTACTGTTAATGCAGATGACCAGTTTCTCGCTTATATTCTTATGCAGATGACTGAATCTAAATTGAAACTACTAATTCCTGATTTTGAGAAATTGAAATGCAATATCAGCCTGAAGTCAGAATACTTAAATGTACAGGTGCGTGTTAACTATCTGAATTACTTCCAGTAGGAATTTAATCAATAGGACAGTGGCCTTAAATAAATGAGTCAAAAAAAGCATATGTAAGAAACTTTATTAAGAAATATAAATGACGATGAAAGCACCTGTTATATTATGACTTATACTTCAAACGAAATCTGTTTGGTGCGATTACTGGTGCATAATAATTCTATTTGTAGAGTTATAGATAAACTCCATTATGGATAAGATTTTATCCTGATAAATCACACAGTGTTATACAGTAATATTAACTGATGACGTTTCGAGCACAAACTATTGCTCATGATCATATCAAGTTACTCACACAACTTATTTCCTTCATTTATATACATGAGTGAAATTGATTAGACATTTGAATAAAATCAATATAAGATAAAGTACATTCAGAAATAATAATATTAGTGTTATCAATCAAATACAATCAGATGGGAAATAAGACGAGTGTTTTTATAGTCATAATAAGTAACTTGTTAGAATGTTATGAAGTACGTGAATTGAAATAGAATTTTAAGATTTGACTGACTGGTGGTAATAATATCTTCCATGTTTCTGATATTTGCATTGAGTCATTTCTGTTGCACGTGTTGGGTGTAGACTCAATGAACCACGATTCAGTAATCAATTTCTCTCTCCACCTACACAAATTACTTCTCATAATCTTAACCCTCTCCCACCCTATTGTGTGGTTGTTTGTTAATGCATGTAGTGCGATTTCTGAGCTTTTTTCTAAATTACTTATCTTCTCAGGGTCAACCATTCTTACCATAGCTAAATTCTTATGTTTCGACAATCTGATTACTCCCGATCTACTAGTATGACCTATATAGTTGACTTCACAGTCATTGTAGGGTATTTTGTAAATTATATTATTTTGTTTAATTGGATCCACCGGGTCTTTTAGCCTACAGAGCTTGTCTCTGAGTGAGTTTGTAGGTTTGAATGCCACCCTAATTCCTGCTTTATTAAGAATTCTACATAGGTTCTCAAATGTCCCCTCCTTATGTGGTATAACAGTAGATGACTTATTTTTTTTCCTTCACGTTCCCCAGTGGAACACAGGGCTTCAAGCTAGTGGCTTAAAGTTTCTGTAGCAGTGTTAATTTTTACGAGATGGGGTTGCCAGCCTCATGCCCAACCTTTCCTCTTTACTAACATTATTTCTGGCTTAGCGAGGTCAGGTGAAGGAGTTCGTCGGCCGGGGATCGAACCCCGGACCAGGTGCATGGTCAGCGAGCGTCCTAACCGCTATACCACCGACTTACATTCTCTCTTATTTATGTTATCACTACTACTACTACTACTACTACATAGATAAACTGAACTGTCTGTTATGATTTCGAGGAAAACACTGACGGTAAATTTAGGTGTTAGTTCATTGCGGAATAAATATTTGCTCGAACTCAACATTAAACCGATGTAACCAAACATATGTTTCCTAAGATAACTTATTTTTGAGATCACTTTAGATTTGTGGTAACATAGAGGCTATAATATAATGTATGTAATAAAATGTTATGTACAAAACTTGTTGTTTCTTGTCCCAGCATTTCCTTGGCGAGAACAAACTGTTGACATGTTCGATGTCCGTAGACGTTCCTGGTAAGCACTAATTGCTCATTTGATGTGAAACTGTTTTAATCTATTTGTATTTGAGAAAAGTAAGCTAAATATTAACATTAGAGGTGTATTGCTTTCTATGCAATATGTTTTACTCAAGTATTTCTAGCGCTTAGAGATCAAATAACAGCAGTATTCAAAGTATTAAATTAGTTATATTGACGTATAGTATTATTTTAGATCGTGGGAAATACCTATTAGAACATTAGAAAGAAGAGAACATGAAGTTCAACAAAAATGTCTTTTCGGCGATTTCATTTTCAAAAGCTGCACAATCGCATTTAAATACATAAATTTACACAGATACAATTTTTTAATTTGATTCCATATAATTACGAAGGCGAAATAAAAGGTGACAATTATTTTCAAATAGATATGGTTTACGAGAGGCTTAGAAACGAAAATTAAACAGGATTAGAACGAATTACAGGCGTGTACAAAATGAGCATGGAAACAAATTGAAATAATAATTTTCAAAGTGAAATGGAAGTTAGGAGGTGTGAATATACATTACAAGAGTCTTAGGAACAAAAATTACATAGGGTTAGGATATAATTGATGATATAAGATGTTTGGAGGCAATCGGCCACAGGAAGCCTTGTCTGACATAAGGTTTCGTGCTAGTTGGCACCCACCAGTCAGCAAAGGCATATCTGCAAACTTGAATGAACTCATGTCCCTTCTGAGATTTGAACTCGCGTCACCCAGTGCTGCAGGAAGAGAATGGAAACAAACTTAAAATAACTGTTTGTATAACTGAAAAAGTGGGATGAATTGAATGAACACAAAGAAAAATCACAAACAGCAAAAAAACAACGAAGGCTAAGGGAACATACTGAACTAGGTCTGTGGTAGTTGTAAAGGTTGAACTAATTTCTTTTGAACACACAGCTCCGGCTTTTCGATGCATATTGATAGGGCTTCTGTAGTACAAAGAAGTTGGAAACATACTAACTTTGGTAGGTTTCTGTTGACTTCGTAAATGACTTTGAACGAATCAGTTGAGATGCTGTGGGGGGAGTTGATCAAATGTTCAATAATGACACTCCTGACTGAATCGGTGCTTCCTCTTTGCAGCCGTGTTGGGTAATGTTCCCTAACACGTTTTGAAAGGACGCACATAAAACGATCTATGTACCTAGCTCCTCAAGAGTAGGTGAACTGGTATATGCACATTGAACTGGTCATATGCGAGAGTTTGCCCTATGGCTTGTTTAGAAGTATTTGGTGGCTAGAGAATGTCACTCATAGTGTTGCTGCAGGGAAGATCTTCTTTACAGAGATGGGTATTCTCCTGTTTAGGATATCAGCTACCAAATCTCCCCTGAAGATGAGATTCATATGCAGAGTTTTCTGCGGCGCTGAATGGCACTCTTATCTTTTTGGTTTCATGTTCTTGTAGACTAAACGTCTTATTTTAGAGTTATTCTGTTGAATAACTCAAGTCTAAGTTAGCTTTCACATTTAGTAAGAGAGGTTTTTTCCTGACTTCCACTTGAATATCTGACAGAAAACATTTTTGTCAAACTAAGTGCTTAGTTATATATTCTGATTCCCATTCCAACTAAGTGAACTAGAGAACTGGCAACTAATAGATACCTATTTTTGGAGTAGACCATCTATGTTAGTCTTGGAAGGAAAAACGGTTTTCCTACTTACTGAAATTATTGATATAATGGAGATATAACTGAGGTTACTGAAACCATGTTTTAGATTAGAAAAGCACCTTGATTTGACGTGAAATATGATCAGTATTTTAGTTTCCACAGACTGATATACTCTAAAGGTAAATATTATGGATCAGAAGGTTCTAAAGAATCATGTGTTCTTCCGTTACATTAGTGCATCATTTTATAAAGTCAATCCAATGCAAGGTTACTTAGATTACCGAAATTATTCACTTTCCTTGCGTCGGTGGCACAGTGGTTAGGACTCTCGCCGATCATACATATGGTTCGAGGTTCGATCCCCTGCCGACGCACACCTGATATCTATGGTTGGCCTGCAAAATTTGGGCTACCGATATCACATGCTGAAAATTTCATACATGTACCAAAAATACAGTGTGGAATCAAGCTGTAATCAAAAATAATCACAAAAAAAGTTTTGCATCCTTGATTATAAACAAGTCAGTAACTGATGTGATGTGTCTAGGCCTTTCTTTGGTGCAAACTGAATTCTATCAATCACGATGGCAATGTGGTCACCATGCTAGATGACTCTCCATCACGGTGCACCGTGAATTGTTGGTATTAGATAGTTGTAGGCAATCGGCCACAGGAAGCCTTGTTTGACCTAAGTTTCGTGCTAGGTGGCACTCACCAGTCAGCAAGGCGTATCTGCAACCTTGAAGGAACTAATGCGCGTCGGTGGCACAGTGGTTAGGACTCTCGCCGATGATGCACATGGTCCGAGGTTCGATCCCCTGCCGACGCACACCTGATATCTATGGTCAGCCTGCAAAATTTGGGCTACCGATATCCATGCTGAAAATTCCATGCTTGTATCAAAAATACAGTGTGGAATCAAGCTGAAATCCAAAAATAAAAAAATAAACGTCCATTCTGAGATTCGAAATGGCGTCACCCAAAGATAGGACTAGACATATTACAATAGTTAATGACTAGTGAACAATCAAAACTATTCAGTACAGTCCTACAGGAGGTCAATCACGAGCCCGGATAGCTCAGTGGTAGCGTCTGTGACTACAGTATTGGGTGACGCGGGTGCGAATCTCAGTTCCTTCAAGGTGGCAGATACGCCTTGTTGACTTATGAGTGTCAACTAGCACAAAACCTAGTTCAGACAAGGCTTCTTGCCTATTGCCTCCAACCATCTAATACCAACAAGCTATGTATTTATAAAAGTTAGTGTGTTTATCTTAGATAATTCTTTTTGTTTTAATACAAACAATTAAATTGTTACATTAGCTGTCATCATGCTCATATGTAATATGAAAAGTATTATTACGTGATATGTTTATTCATAGCCTACCTTCAGACTTCACATATTTTCCAGTTAAACCTATGGGTTTGTCCTATACTTATAGATTGTATTTTTTGAAAATTGAAAAATAAACGACAGTATTAGTCCAGTTTTGTCACAAATTGGAGAAATTAGTAGAAAGTTTAAGTTGAAACTGCTTGGAGCAAAGACTGCTAGCTCTCTGCGGAAGATTTCTATCCATCTTGATGAATGAACAGTGTAATATTTACAAAGTACTTCGTAGTATTCTAGGAATTTTCATAAATGTTTTTATTGACAATAACGTATTACTATTTCGATCTTGATTTTCGCATTTAATTTTTAGGTTTATACAGGGTTCTTCTGTTCCTAGAGATCTGTTCATACTACTTGACACGTAAGTGAAATTATATATATATATATATATATATATATATATATATATATATATATATATATATATATATATATATATATATATATATATATGCTGTAAGACATTTAAGAGTTATCTCAGTAGTAGCTCTCTCTCTAAAATCATCTCCAAATATGTTATATGATTAGTCAGCTGTGACGTTTTCTTTTTAAATTATTCCAAGCATATTTTCTAAATTACATCGGTTTTTTTCTTTTTGATGTTGGTTAGTCAGAGGTAATGGTAAGAAACTCTATTTTATAGCCGCAAGTGACTTCATTTCAGAAGCAGTCAACTCCTAACATTGTACTATGATGAAATGCCTCCTAGCTTTCTGACAATGTTGCTACCTTATTTGGTAGAATTCGATTTCAACTAAGCACTAGACAGCAGAACATTGATTACTTCCCCGTGAGGAATTTAGGTATCCAGTTTCACCTTCGAATGAGTCTAAGCTAACTTTGTCATATTATTATTATTCCCTTGGGTTCCTAGTGGAACATAGGGCTTCAGCAACACGTCTCCACTTTCTTCTATTTTCTGTCGACCTCTTCAGCTGGATCCATGATTGCCCATAATCTGTTATCTCCTCATTCTCCTCACTCGATCTCCTCCATGTCACTGTAGGACGACTCACTCATTGTTTCCCATTGGGATTCCACTTGAGTGGTGGCTACCGAAACTTCAAGCCTTTAGCGTAAAGTCCCATGTTCCACTGGGAACGTTAAAGAATAAAATAATAATAAATATCTAAGAACAGCTAAGATCTTCAAGTGAATTTATTGAATATCTGTTGATTTGTGAACAAGAGAGTAATTACATAGTCAGTCGGAAATAACAGTGCTCTATACTTAATATATATAAGTGAACTATTTATCACATTGAAAAACAGAAAGAGGTTTAGGAATTTGACCGCTTTTGAATAGTATCGTTTAACTAAATAATACTCGTGTTTAGTACATGATGTGTAGTCTAAACGGCTCATTTAATTAATGTTTTTAAATATTCTAAAAGATGAACACAAATAAAAAGAAGGAGCAACACTAATAAAAGTGTATTTGTATTTCATGACTTTTTTTTTCTTTGATGAAGTGAGACAAAACAATGGGAACAAACTGAGTAAAAACTATATGATACTATTTTTTTTTATCCCTTCTAACTAACTGGATATATAACTTTAATTAATCAGCATTCAGATAAAGAGCATTCCACTTACATGAATGATTATTAGAATGGAATGCTTTAATTTATCTTTACTTTAACATTTTAGAAGTGGGAGTATGACTGGTCAATCATTGAAATTGGCTAATTTATCAGCACAAAAGTTAATCGAATCTCTTGATGTTGATGACTATTTTGTTGTAGCACATGTAAGCAACTTTTTATTGTCTGATAAATGTTTTAATATTACTGTCGAAAGAAACAATGTTTAATCATCAGATAAATCTGATTAACTGACATCTTCATGCTCAAGTTAATTCTCTTAACTATCCTAAATCATTTACTGGAAATGATGCATTTGTGGCTAATTAATACTTAGTGTGTGAAAGAACATTACTTGATTTGAACATAAATGCTAATTGATAAGAAAAAGAAATCAATAGTAGACTTTCTCGGCTGCTACTCTAGTTCTTTATCACTTGAATTATAGAATCCTGTAGATAACCACATGATAAAATCATTGTAACATTGACTAGTGTATTCATCACCTCTTCACTGACCTGTAAATCTTTAATTCAAGTTCTATTATAGCGCAGATATTATTACAACTACATGCATCATCTGTGCTTAGGAGAGGGTTGATTGTCAAATAAATATACTAAAAATGTAGAGTGATTAACAGTTAGAAACAATTGACTTATTTACTAGTTTCCACACAATAATAATTTACCTTATTCCAAAAACAGTATTTGTGATACAGAATTGAATTTCCAGCATTAATCATAATATTGCATCTAACTTAAGGAGACTAAATTATCGTCATATGAATCGTGGAGCCAAGTTCCTTGAAGAGTTATTACACCAGTATTACAATATACAGTTGAGTATAATAGAGAATCCAAGTAGTTAATCTTGTTAGGTAGAGATATGCAATTTGTGCTTATAATCACAAAAGTAGTCGTCAAATGCATTGAAGTACGCTTTAAAGCTCGTTGCCATACATCATGAAGCTTTTTCTTAAGTTTATTAGAATCTAGTAAATCAGCCGGTTGGAAACGTTTTAAATAACCGCGAGAGTAAACAATACGATTAGGACACATAATTGAATGATTAAAATAAAATAAATCCGAGGAAATAGATGCAATATGTAGGATGGAAATTTTGGTAGCCCAAGATTTAAGCAGGCAGCTCAGTTACCGTTACTGCATGTTGGAGATTCCAAATACGAAATTATTTCAAATGAATAAATTCTGTGTAGGTGAAATCGTGAATGCCACAATTATAAACAGAGAGCTTTACATATATGCATTATTTTACTTTCTATCTCGTTTACATTGCTGCTAAGCTAAATTCTGGTTTGTTATATCTTTGCTTTTCGTCATTCTTCAGTCAAACAGTGAATACAGACTTAAGTTTTTCTCTATTTGATTGTACATGAACATTTGTGATACTTGAGTATAGTGCATTTCCATAAATCTTGGACTTAAAATATATGAAATTATATTGTCGTTTCACTTTACACAGCGTATGGTATGCTAATTACAACTTCCACTTAATAATAACGCAATAGCAGTTATTGGTCTGTCAGAAATTTTTTTTCAATGATACAGTAGATGTGTTTTATTTAAATGAATTCTAGATTTTCTCGTCAATTGATTGGACCGAAGTGCTCGGTCTCAGGTTGATATGTTGGCTTCATGTGGCCCAAGTGGTCTAGTGGATAAAGCTTTGGCGTTTGAAACTATGGTCACTGGGTTCGAGCCTCGGTGGGAACATCACTCAGTGACTGGGGAATGCAGGTGCATCCAGATGATGAATCCCAAATAGGACGACATGCGCATCTTGCCTTCCACTGCTAGTTACCGTCGATCAATTAAATTCTAGTAGACGTGTTTGTTTAAAAGTAGGAATAGAAATTGTATTGTCATGTTAGCCACTGAACAAATAAAAATACGCAAATACAATGATGATCCATATTGACCAAAAGTATTTAAATCTTTTTTTCTTGGGTAAGGATTGGATTATATTCAGTGTAGGTTTCAATACATCAGTTGGATAGTCGGTGGAAACTTGCAAGCGAAATGCAGCAGCTTCATCTCAATTTGAAGTCATTCAGAGTTTATATTTCAAGAGAAAGATTACGATTGCTTGATGCGTTTTTCAACACATACAATATATCATAATGTTTGTCGTTAGAGAAGAGAATATCTTTGAGTTACACTTAGAAATGTTCACATGGCTGATGACTATTTTCACAATCTGGTTTTATCAGGTAGATATTTAGGGTTAAAAGACTATTTAAGTTTAGTGCGCTCTCAAATATCACTTACTTTGGCTATTTACCTATATTTTTTTTATTTATACGTGTAGTTCCCTGGGGCAAAAGATCATTCACTCCCAATGATTGTTACAGCAAATAATGAAAGTGAACCTATTTGTTTCAATTCATTTGTTCAAGCAACTAAGCGTAATAAGTTGGTAAGTTTGATTTTGTGGATAGATTCATTTGCCTATCAGTGGTACGAAGGATCATCTACTTGACAAAAAAAACAGAAATTTAAAAAGCGAATAAGGAATTAATTTTTCTCGCAAATTTGGTCAATACCGTCTACATGAAAAGCATGGAAGTTTAAACATTAAATGTAGAGAACAAAACAAAGAAATTAAAAGATAATGGCTTTAAAAGAGATAGACATAGCCACAACTCATGTGTCCTATACTGCTGACTGCTTGATCTCCGTCAAATGTAATGAATCAATTCAAGTTATATTAGTGATAAGAGAAATTTATATTCAGTAATATGTTTGTGAATGCATAGGCTGTTTCGCTTATCTGAAAAACCAAACCAACACAGAAATATTTATTCGGTATTATTCTGTGTCACTTGCATAAATGCTAATTATATTATCATTACAGCTGACGTCTACAACAGTCTAAGTCTGAATATTCCCAAATGAAAAAAAACAGGCAGGCGAGGAGATTCAGATGACTAAAACATATTCACATTTGATGATATTAGATAGTTGGAGGCAATCGGCCACAGGAAGCCTTGTCTGACATAAGGTTTGGAGCTAGTTGGCACCCACCAGTCAGCAAGGCATATCCCTAAAAAACGAAAATCTAATTGATAGTTCCATCTTTGACGCTATTAAGCCCACCGGAACTCATACGCCTAAACTTTATGGCTTACCCAAGATGCATAAGCAGGGAATCCCCCTACGACCAATCCTAGACATGTCGAACTCGCCCTTTCATTTAACTGCCAAATAGTTGGTAAAACTGTTAGAACCGTTACACCGCCAGCTGGTTAAATATAGTGTAGAAGATGTCTTTAACTTTGTTGAAAATATTAAAGATATTAACATAGCAGACAAAACTATGTTATCGCTGAACGTAACATCACTATTTACCAACGTCCCCCTTGTAGAAACTGTCGACTACATATGTGAACAACTTGTAGAAAAGAATATAGAAATTGGAATCACACCAAGAAAATTGAAAGAGTTACTACTACAATGCACTATGAACGTTCAATTTGTATTTAATAAGGAGTACTACCGCCAAATAGATGGGGTTGCTATGGGCCCTCCCCTTGGTTCCTTATTAGCCGACATATTTCTATCCAAATTGGAAAATGGTCCTTTAAAAGAGATACTAAACCAACTCGATTATTATTGTCGATATGTTGACGACACCTTTATCATTTGTAACAATAATTTGGATAGACAACATCTGCTTCAAGTCTTCAATAAGGTACACCCAGCTATTAAATTCACTTGTGAAGAGGAACTCCAAGGTAGTATTCCATTTCTCGATGTTCTTCTCACAAAAAGATCAGACGGTACCTTGAAAAGAAACATCTATAGGAAAGCGACGTGGAACGGACAATACACCTACTTCCATAGCTTCATACCTATACAATATAAGCGCAACCTAATTCGTTGTCTTAGTCATAGAATTAGACGCATATGCACCGAGGATTGTATTGAAGATGAAATAAGAAATCTTACAAACGCCTAGCTACGAAATGACTACCCTACCAACTTAGTAAAGAAGTATATCTACGAAACTACACATTAAACCAAGTGAGACACAGTAAGTAAGAAGAAGCTTTACTTAAATGTACAATTCAAAGGTGATATAGCCAGTGATATATTAAACCGTAGATTAACAAGATCAATTGAAAGAACTTTTAATGCCTCAAAATTGCATGTCAGTTTCTCAACCAAACCGATATTGACACCGTGCATTAAAGATAGATTGCCCAAAATGGCAACATCAATGTGTACATATAAATTTAAATGCTCCTGTGGAGCTAGTTATATAGGTCGTACCCAGAGGAATTTATCTCTACGCACTCGTGAACATATTCCTGTTTGGCTTGGGAAAAGAACAACCAAATCAATTAATAGTGCAATTCTGTCTCATCTAGTGGATAGCGAACACAGCATCAAAGTAGATGAGTCATTTACAGTTGTGTATCGAGTAGCGAACAATCTCTCCAAAGGCACACGATTACGCCTCCTAGCCGTAGCTGAGGCTTTAGAGATTGATAGAGAAAGACCAGACCTATGTGTACAGAAAAACTTATTCACTCTCTTTGTCTACCCTGGCCCACCATAAGGTCACCAGGATCATAATTTTTTCGTACTATCATTATCATTATTTAGATATGATAGAGAAGATTTGTAGCTCAGGTGGATAATTTTGATGTGGTTTTGTTCTCTGAGCTTCAATTTGAAGTATGCGCTGAAGATGTCACCCAGTAAGGTGATGAAAGCTTCGCAAACTAACTATCCAGCTCAGAGAACAAAACCACATCAAAATCATTATCATTATTATTATTTTGTGATATCATGTCTTTATTATCCATTTCTCCACCCAGTTTATTTCACCTCATTGTTACCCTTATTTTGTCAACCTTTATGATTTTATACTAAGCCTACCAATTCTGTAGCATTTTACTACAATTTACAATTTAGCCTCTTTATTTTATCATTAGACATTATCGGTTAGCCCTCACATCCAGTGCCTCCTTTGTTAATGTGTATGTGTATGTATTTTGTGATTATCGTATTTCTCTCACCCCAAGGACACTTGTACTCTGTTGACTATAAAACAACATATATCACCCATTGTTCATTCACACTTCATCACACTTTCTGACTAAAAACCCTATACACATTTAATTGACTATGCTAACTAATGGACTATCACCTCAACTTACACATGCACCCCAATACAGTTTCTGATATTATTTTCATTTGCCTTTACTGGCTATATGTATTCTATTATTCATGGATTTATAACTGTAGAGCCTGAAGAAGAAGTTATCGAAGCCACAATTGTTCGCTCAAAATCTTGTTTTGATTTCAGTAAATAATCTTATGTGTCTAGTCCTTTCTTTGTTGCAGACTGAATTCTATCAGTGAGGTTTGCAATGTGGCCACCATTCTAGATATCTCTCCTTCGCATTATTATAAATTCATTGGAGGGTGCTCTAATGTGCCTTAAATAAACAAAAGTTGGCACTGGATGTTTTCCATTCACACTATATGCAATACAACTGCAGGGCAGCTATTGAGAAATAAATCAAAATTATTTGAATGAGAGATTAATATCATACATTTGGTTCCTTTGATAAATTTCGATAAAGGAAGGAAGACGAAATGTGGAGTATAAAATGATATCATTCTATTTCACAGGTTCTCATCAGCTGCAAATTACCTGAAATTACAATGGTTATATAGTTGATAATAACATACTGTAATGTTTGAGTGGTAGTAGAGAAGAGATACTATAAAAATGATGCATCCAAAATGAAAGCATTACAATTTTAGTTCAAGTTTTCATCATCAATTTATACGCTTTTTAAAGTTAAATAGGGGGGGGGATAAGACAGGAAACAGAAAAGAGAAAAAAATGTCGTCTTCCTTTCTTTATCGAGAGATTAATTATAAAGTGAAGGTGAATTTTTTTCGTAGACCAAATTGTCATTATTTTTTCTGAGGAAATTCAATTTATATAAGACAAAGCTTTTTTTTTAAAACAAAATTCCTCTCAATATTGGTTTATCCTTGCTTTTCATTTCTAATCATTTTTGTTTTTTTTTACTTTTTTCTTTTTACTTTTCAAGCGTTTGTTTTATGATTTGAGTACACTTAAAGCTCGTGGTCATTCAAACTTTTCAACACCATTGGAATTCGCTTATGAAATGTTTCGGAATGTAAGTAAAATTGTTATTTCACCTCCCCAGTGTATTCATTTTTAGGCTCTTTCATTTTCAACAGTTTATTGTGCATATTAAATCTGATGACTAGTTAACTGTCACTGAGCTATAGAGAGTACTAATAATAGTTTACTCTCCAATTCGCTTTAAATTTTGTAAACAAGCACATGATACGTGTAATAGTTTTTTTAAATCCAACTACCCCAAAAATTTTGAAACTACTGGTTCTGCTATTGTACATCCTATACCTATACAATGGACAATAATATATTTCATTATGAGCTGACGTTAGTTAGAGAACCACTGGAAAACCACCTGGGAGTACTGGACAACTGTTTCGTTCTAGTTTGGGACTCTTCATCAGTACGCACCCACCGCCACGGTTAGAAACCCAGGACCTTCCGGTTACAAGGCGAGCTCGTATACCATTAAGCCACTGGAACCCGATACGATGGTCCATGTATTCTAACTTCTGCCAATTCACGACATAGCGCGACCGCTAGCCAATGTCTTCGGCGAGTATTTGTCCTCACACCCGACCTGCTGTATCCTACTGGTCACGACTTCTCACTAGAACCCCAGGTAAATACCTACCTGAATAGGGTAAGTCGCTAGTGAGCATATCACCGGTGTGTGCATGCTGTTGAAGAGTCTCAAACGAGGACGAAATAGCTGTCCAGTATTCCAAGTTGGTTTTCCAATGGTTCTCTAACCAATGTCAGCTCATGATGAAGTCCTGAAACCAATCAAATCCCTACAAACCAACACTTGAATAATATATTTGTTTGAGAAAGTAAATAACACAGTAATAACTCTCCGAGGAAATCAACAAGTAACAGAATGGGCTGCATTCATTTAATGGTTATTCACAATGTGTTTTTAAATATATGCAGTTCTGGTCTTTTATTGTAATGAGTTTGACTAACCAAAATCCCGGTAAACAAAGAAAATGTAGAAGTCATTTAGTTCGATACTTCTTTGACTGACAACTCTAATTCACTTCTAAGCATCATCTCTTTACAGTGGGATGAGAGTACAAAACCAAAATTATTTCAGGAATAAATGTAACTAAGTTCACTTATTTCATCTGTTTTAACCAAGTACACAGCAACTTTTCATTACAGCGTTAAAAATGTTGTTTCAAATAAAGCAAGAACAACAGTTTTTGCAGAATAAAATTTTATCCTCATTTATTTTGTTGGCTTCTCATCAGCCGCTTGCAGCCCAAAGACATTATTAAGTATATCTACAGACACAAATTTAACATACTTGCGCACAGTTCATTTTTAATCAAAAATCAATACTACTAATAACAATAATAATAATAAACACTTTATACCAAACAATAATGATCACACATAATAGAAACTTTTGGTATTGCGTAACCAGATAAAAGAAAGGATAAAAACAGTCAGTTACCAGGGCAAGGAAAGATTGATAACCGCTTCTTTCTGAAAGCATAATTATTGTTATGGAAATTTGATTTATTCTCTGGAAATTCCTACGTATTATATATTATCAAATAAAGCTAAAAAGCATGAAACTTCTGACTGAATTCAGGATCAGATTTCGTTTACTTTTTGATAAACAACTATTGAGTACGTTCCCAGTGAGATGTTGTAATAATATCCTTTACTAAAATGTTAGAAACTGTCTAAAGTTTCTGTCTTAGTATAACGATTTGCTTTTCATCTACCTTTGATTATTTCTCTGTATTGCTTGTATATTTTGAACGAAATTCCACAGTCGAAAAGCTTCAGGTTGATTGGATTGTTTGAAATAAGTGTGTGAATTCCCCAAACATCTGCTTTTTTATATTATATTTGGATTGCAAAATGCCGTTCATTAACAGCTCATATTCCCCTAAATACCAGAAAAGAATCACTTTTAAAGTAGACTAAGTTCGCGCCATTTACCGGTGTCTGTTTAACTTCAAATAAAAAAAGTGTTACAATAACCAAATTACAGTAACATTAGAGATTCTCCGATGCCGATTTTAGTTGGCTATATTACGCACATAGTATTTTCGTTACATGGAGTGGATCAAGATTTGGCAGTTTCAAGAACTCATGCGTGTTTTATTTGTCTGTCTTTTTGTTATACAGCTAGCTGGGAGTGCAAGAGGAGATCGTGGTAAGGAGTTAAGAAATAAAATCCTTGTTATGATGACAGATAATGCATTTGTCTTCGATGAATATGTAATGTCACAACTTAAACAACAAAAGTCTAATGTGAGTTATTCATTTTTGCCTATTTTAAGCTATCCATATTTGTGCCCCATTAATTACACTAACCTTAGCTTGTCAGAACATTTTCCTTGTACCTGCCTGATTAGTTTTTAATGTAGAGTGATTACATTGACACATTCACTTCTGTTGAAGTGTTTGAAATGGTTTATTTAACCATAAAACATGGAAAATTTACTGCATTTGTAAAGGTGCCTGATTGGTCTGGAAGTCTGTCATTAATAATGGTATTGAGTGAGGGTAGATGAAACTGAATATGTCACTAAACAGGGTGAATTCAAACTTTTAAAGCAGATCTACCAGTCATTTTCAGTTTACTGATAGTAGGATATAGAAGTGTCCACGTTTAGGCTTAGCCATAGAACACTTGTAACCTCGCCAGATACTAGATTGCTAGGCTACTAGCTTACTAGTTTTCTAGCCGGTCCCAAGCCCGAGTAAAGAGTGAGGGTTGGGGCGTGGTGCTAGCAACTCCACCCCTGTAAAACAACCAAATCGCTACAGAAACTTCAACGAATAAATATATTAAAAATTCTAAAAACATAAGCAATAGCCTTACTTTTCGCTGGAATCGGGGAAGTGAAATGACGCAGGCTGGTGAAAGCCTTCGGGAAGCCAGTCAGCCGATGTGCCTTCTTTCGATGAAAGCAAAAGTAAGGATGGGTACCTGGAATGTTCGTACAATGTACGAAACTGGAAAGGCTGCCCATGTAGCAGCTGAAATGAGGAGATATAGAATAGAAGTGTTGGGAATCTGCGTGAGCAGATAGGACGGGTGTGGTGGGTGCCAACTGCTAACTGGGGAGACAATAATCTATTCCGGCCACCCAGAGGACAACCACGAGCACACCGAGGGAGTGGCCATCATGATGTCACCAACAGCAGCCAAAGCTCTCATGCAGTGGGAACCAATCTCCTCCAGGATAATGACAGCCAGGTTCAACTCAAAAGGAAGGAAAGTTACAGTCATTCAATGCTATGCGCCTACAAACGTCTCAGAACAAGAGAAGAAGGAGGCGTTCTACAGACAACTACAAGCAATAATGGACAACGTCCCAAATGGCGATATCAAAATCCTGATGGGCGACATGAATGCGAAGCTGGGACGAGACAACACAGGAAGAGAACTCACCATGGGTCGTGAGGCCCTCGGTGAAATGAACGACAATGGTGAACTCTTCTCAGACTTCTGCGCCTTCAATGATTTGGTGATTGGTGGCAGTGTGTTCAAACACAAGGATATACACAAGACGACATGGATTTCACCAGATGGAAACACCAAGAACCAAATAGACTTCATCTCAATTTCAAGAAAGTGGAGACGGAGCCTACTGGACACAAGGTCAAGGAGAGGAGCAGATGTGGGTTCAGACCACTATCTAGTAGAAGGGACTTTCAAGGTGAAACTAAAAGCCTCGAGGATAGCTGGGGATAGGCCACAATGCAAGTTCAACACTCAAACTGAAGGACACAACCACAAAAGACACTTCACTGCAACTGTCAGAGCAAAGCAGGAAACACTACGCGACATCACTGAAGAATCATGCGTGGAAGAACATTGGAAGTCTCTGAAGGCGATTCTCAACGAAACGTGTTCAACGGTTCTAGGAAGAAAGAAGAGACAAGACAAGGAATGGCTCTCAACGGACACTTGGAAATTAATAGAAGAGAGGAGAATGGTGAAAGAGAAAATGATTCAATGCAAGGACGGACAGGAGAAGGAGACGCTGAGCTCAACTTACAAAGCACTGGACAAAGAAGTGAAGAAAGTGCTAGGAAGGACAAAAGACGATTCTACGACAATCTAGCTACTGAAGCTGAAAAGGCAGCAGGCAAAAGGGACCTGAGGACACTATATCAGATAACCAAATCTCTATCCGGGAAGAGATCAACACAAGCGAAACCTATAAAAGACAGCCAAGGGAAGCCCATTACCAAGGAAGAAAAACAGATTAAACAATGGGCGGATCACTTCAAAGGACTCTTGAACCGACCACCACCTGCAACCCGTCCAGAAATACCAACAACAGCGCGACACAACTGCAAGTTGACACCAATCCTCCAACGAGAGCTGAAGTCTTGAACGCAATCAAGCTTCTGAAAGCTGGAAAAGCAGCCGGACCAGATGGAATACCCCCTGAAGCACTGAAAGCAGACCCAGAGACGACAGCAGACATGCTGACTCCATTATTGCAAAAGGTCTGGAAGGAGGGAAAGGTGCCTACTGACTGGAGGAAAGGTTACCTCGTGAAACTACCAAAGAAGGGCGACTTAGGCCTCACTCTGCAAGAACTGGCGAGGAATCATGCTCCTGTCGACGCCAAGTAAAATCCTGAGTCGCATCATCCTGGAGAGATTAAAGGACGCACTGGAGACAGAACTCCGACCAGAACAAGCTGGATTCAGGAAAGGCAAATCATGTACTGACCAAATTGCAACTCTACGCATCATCATCACAGAACAAAGCATGGAATGGCAATCAAACCTCTACCTCAACTTTATAGACTTTGAGAAGGCCTTCGACAGCGTTGACCGTGAAGTAATTTGGAAACTACTCGAGTACTACGGCGTACCCCAAATATTCATCAACCTTATTCAACAGCTGTACGACAACGGCACATGTCAAGTGATCCACAACGGAAAACTCAGCAAGGCGTTTGGAGTAAACACAGGAGTCAGACAAGGGTGCTTATTATCACCAATGATATTCCTAATTGTGGTGGACTGACTGGATTATGCGTCAGACAGTGAGTGGGAAACGAGAAGACAGGGATATCCTGGACAGACGACGTGAAGAACCTAGAAGACCTGGATTTCGCCCGTGGATGATTTATGTTTGATGTCACACACAATCGAAGACTTACAAGCGAAAACCGACAAACTGGTCGAAGAAGCAGCCGAGAAGACAGGACTCCAGGTGAACATAGACAAGACGGAGGTTATGAAAATAACCAACCAACCACCAACAACAACAACAGCAACATCCAGCTCCAATCACCATCAACGCGAGGGATTTGAAAGAGGTTACTTCATTCACTCACTATCTAGGGAGCATTGTCTCAACTACAGGCAGTCGGAACGGACGAGGATGTCAAATCGAGCGAGAATCGGGAAGGCGAGCGAGAAACACAATCATCAACCAACCTGAAACCAATCTGGAAATCTTCGTCACTCAGCCAGCATCAACAACCAAATTCGGTGGGATTTTCAATACAAACAACGTGAAGTCAGTCAGCTCTTCTATACGGATGAGAAACTTGGCGGGCGGGTCACAAAGAATATTGCCAACAGCCTGTTGCAGACGTTTGTCAACCACCAACTGTCTTCGCTGGCTCTATACTGAAGATCAGATGTCCGGAAAGAGTCACCAACAAGGAATTATGGGAACAAACAATGCAAGAACCAATCGCCCAACAAATATGGAGGAGAAATTGGAGATGGATCGGACACTCGCTGAGGAGACCGCTGGGTGACATCGCGCGCGTGTCACACCATTGCTCGAGTGGAACCAGGCCGAAAGGGAAGAGGCGAGTGGGTCGTCGGTGCAAGGGTGACATGGAGGAGGTGGTGTGAAGAGGAGTTGAAAGAATATGGACTGACATGAATGCAGGTGAAAAGTACAGCAGAAGACGGAAGATAATGGCGACGTGCATTTGAAGCCCTATGTTCCACTAGGAACCCAAGGGAGCAATAATAATAATAATAGAACACTTTTACACACGTGTCTTGAACTGATAGAGGTATTCTATGTCTGGGTGTGTCATAGTTCCTAGCTGTCAGAAATGTATGTTTTCAATGATCCTGATGTTTTCTAGATGTGATTTGTGAATCCAAATGTCATAGAAGTCTTGTATATCGGTAACTTGTTTCAATATAAACCTCACACATAGCTGAAGCTATGGGAATTCGAGGGAACAATACTAGCCTTTGCATACAAAAGAAGTTTGTTCTACCTTTGTTCCTACCTTGGCCTAGGTAAGTTCTGAATAAAAACCTTCCACCCTTCCTAATTTTACATTTCCTTCGTAATTTTATGATGTTCAAGTGCCGGTTTGCGGGGATTTGATTGGTTATAGGATCTCATACTGAGCTAACATTGGCTAGAGAACCACTGGAAAACCTGCTAAGGTTTTTGACGTTTGTCTATATTTCTTTAATTTCAATCATGTGTGTCTGCAACAAGGACCTTGATGGCGTACCCTAAGAAGATTCCTCAGACGCTTTTGACGCCATATTAAACCAATTGTCACTCGATACCTTCAGTGATTTATGAGTTTACGATTATTTTATTATTCAAAAGCCATTGGATCGGGTCCAAGTGGCTTAATGGTCTATGAGATCTCCTTGTAACTAGAATGTTCTGGATTCTAACCTCAGTGGATGCGTCCTGACGTAAGTCTCCAGCTAGGACTAGACAGCTGTCCAGTACTCCAAACTGGTTTTCCAATGGTTTTCTAACCGATGGGAGTTCATGAAGATGTCTTTCATGATATTTATTTAAACTGATTTTTTTTCAACTCACCCTTAGTATTATGTAACTTTTAAAACTTGACCAAATTTATTTTTTAAATTGTCTACAATATACGTACTACTACCTTCGTTATTCTTGCTGCCACCTGCATAAAGTCCTTCTGCTTTCGTTAAGATTAATCTTATTATCATTATTTTTGCTGTCATTATAATCATCGTTATTACAGACGTTCAAAGCATTTAACATATTATCATCATTATTTGATCCGATCTTTTAAGTAAAATGAATGGAATTACAGTTCATGAAAGATGCATTAATTATAATAAGCATGAAAATATAATAGCAAATAGAATATCAACTACAATTAAGGAAATTTCTACAAAAAACTGAGGATCATTCGAACCTAGATGGATAAGGTAAGGATAGTATCTGAACCAACTTCTTTTGGATACATAAGTTAGGTTTCTTAATGTGGATCCAAACGGGCTCAGTAAAATGAAGTAGACGAACTCTTAAGGTGAAGTTAAAATTAGTCAGTATGCGGTAGATGATTTTGAAAGCCTCGTTAATATTAATCTTGTATTCTGTTTTCACAAGATGAGATAGAATAACGCTATAAATGGATTTTATTTGTGCTTTACTGTACCACACAGGATGATGTTTGGAAATCCGACGATAAACACGCCTAAATGTACGACCTATGTAACTCGTTTCACAGGAGTAGTCAAATGGGTAGATGCACATAGAAGAGGTGAAATCAGGCAGTTTAACTTTTTCTCTCGAACGCGAATTAGGGGTAGTTTTGAAGATACAGAGTAATTTGGCAGCACTGATATCTCATTTTACGGCAATCCTAAGGCCCTGTGTTAATATCTCGCTGATGTTGTTATCATTTCTATTTATTATAAGCTGATCTCTATTCATTGTTAATGTTGTATGGCATTTTCTTCTTTTTATTCGTAACATAGATTACTACATTTATTTATTCACTTGGAGAACCTGTTGGTGCAGCTAATGAACATTCAAAGAAAGCATGTGCTACAAATGGTAAATATATGTATACGCTTAGATTACATTCTTATTTTAAAGAAATTGATTTTCTGTTACACTAGTGACAGGTGCATGACATGTAAGTTATATGTTACAAGGATTAAGAAAAAAATAAAAAAGTACTCACATAAATATCCTTGATTGCCCCTGGTGTTTTGCATGATATGCGTTTATATTGCTTAACAGGAGATTTAGGTAAATAATCAAACCTTTTGCCTGACCAATCTTAATTTACGATAATTATTCATTTGATATCAGTATTAATAAACTGAACAAGCCATATGTATAATAGTGAACTACCCACACTATTCAGTTGATAACATAAATTGTTATTTTTGAACTAACTAAAACAAGGGTACATCCTTTAATAAAATATACACTGAACTTCCTAAGAAGTCTATAAGAATGTGTTCAGTTGTGAAATGCTAATATTGTAGTGTTGAATCTAATATTCATGCTGTTTATTCACCGGTTCTTGCTTCCCTTGATTTTACAAACTAAGTAAAAATGCAACCTTTTGTGTTGAATAACAAAATATCGAAGTATGATAAGCATAAAACAATGTAGTATCACTTTAACATTCAAATACTTCATTTACCATTTCATACTTCACATCAGTGAAATAACTCCCTTCACCTTTCAAGATAAAATAATTGTAAGCGTATGTAAATAACAAGAAGTATCGGATTATTATTGGTTTAATGTGGGGTCATAAGTGCCTGTAAAATCTTCTTAGGGTACGTGATTGAGGTGCTTGTTGCAGGCATTCATGACCGATTTCAGTTGGAGAACCGTTGGAAAACCTAGGAGTACTGGACAACTATTTCGTCCTAGTTCGGAACTCTTCATCAGTACACACCCTCTGAGGTTCGAACCTAGGACCTTAACGTTACAAGAAGAGCTCGTAGATCATTAAACCACTGGACTCGATCCAGCGGCCAATCCATGAATTCCTAATTCTGCCAATTCATGATATGGCGCGACCGCCAGCGAATGTCATTGGCAAGCACTTGTCCGCGCATTCGACCTGTTGTATCCTGCTGGTCACGACTTCTCATTAGAACACCTGGTAACTAGCTACCTGAATAGGGCCAGTGAGCATCGGATTGTTATTCAATTATTAGTTTGCATGTTTATCATGTTTGTTTCATGGCTGAGATTAGAGAGAAGCATACGTACGCCAAAGACTATATTGACTACTATGATGAACAGCAATAGAAGCTAGGCTAAGCTAAAGCGTACTGCAAAGAAACATTATGATTCCATCATTCAGTTATATCCCAGATCAGTTTAAATGATGATTTTAGAAAATGCCTTATCTGGCTTAATTTTTTTTCACTTTTAAATACTGCTAGAAGAACTAATCAGTGGTTTATTTCGGAAACAACAATAACCTCTATAACTATCAACCGCATTTATTGGTCTAGTGATTGCTGTTCAACATGACCTATTGTTACTAGGTTTTCTTTCGACAGACGTACTGTCAACTTTATCACCAGATTAGTCCTACAAAATTTATGTAGTAGTTATGCAAGTAAACCTCTTCTTGTTAGGTGAAGGAGCCATACCACTTTGACTAATCCTCGCTGACGCTATGAATTATCATTCATAGCGTCTGAAAGAATTATAACATAAAAGCACTGTCATTCAATCAGTAACCAATCTTTAGAATCTATTAAAAGGTCTGGAGAAAAAGAATTATTGCCTAATAAGAAATTGAATTATAACGACTGAACTGACTTACTGTCTGTCTTCAGTGAGTTAGTTTTTGCTCTTTAGCTGCTAAATATTAAGTAAAATTTTTTGGAATGAATTATTTTATTAATATGAACAATTAAGGTAATGAAGACTGTACGAAATCTGTAATTGTGAATCATCTGAGCTTGCTAGTTTAACTTGAGTGTTCTTACAGACAAATTGTATCGTTAGTTGTTGTACTTAAGTGTTTATGATGTTTGTGAGTTGCAACCAGTAACGATAATTTATTGTGTTTTGTGTAATTCATTAGTCTGTAAATTCTTCTCTTTAACGAGCATTTCATGTATCAGTTGGAATATTTTAATTTTTATCAGCTATTGAAATACTTACGTCCTTGTCTTAAAAGATTTTAGACCATGCAACTGATAGTTTTCCAATAGTATCATTTGATGAAGTTTTTCTCTCCTTTGGACTTTGTTTAACTTGTTAGGGTCTAAAAAACAGACAAGAGAAACAGTTGTGTTCGTCAGTATATTGCTCACCACAACATTTCTTTCTTTCTAATCCTATTCTCTCTTTTTCAGATTATTATCAATATCTACCAACAGTTGGAGCAGTTTCCAATCTAATGAAGGTAATTAAATATTTCATAACTATTATCTTATAACTTAATGTCATTATCCGAGCAGAGTATGTTGTTTATTGGATTCTTAGGATCATCATTTTATTTAATGTTTAAAAGTGTTGGCTTGATTTAGAGAAAACTCCGATGCAAAGCTGATAAATTATAATTCTAAGTGTTCTTAGAAGCCTTTAAGTTATGGTATTTCATATTATGACCAGTCTAACTATTTCTCATTGAATAAGGATAGATTTGTCGAATGCACAACTATTGTGTAAATTGTCACTTCTTCAAAGTGTTTTCTTTTCACGAAGAGATTCTGTATGACTCTTGATTAGTTGTTTTTTTTATCACGATGGCTGTTATTGGAATGTGATACTATTTTGAAACAACAAACACATATTGACATTTCGAAATTTTTACGATCGACAAGTAAACAGATCTGATGAAAATCAAGAATTATCTTTCAAATTAAGTGATTGTGTTATCTATCGTCTGTGGGTTAACAATAAATCAAATAATTAAAAACTTGATTTTGAAGTGGAAAGGCAAGTTTAATTAAAAATAAGATTCATTTCACATGAGTTTGCTGTAATCTTCATATTATAGGATTCTATACACAGACATCGTAATCAGCCCGCCAAGAACAGATTTTAGTACCATAGAGCTTTCATAGAGCACTTGACGTAAAAGGTACATTTTTGAACTTCAGTATCTGTAGAAATAAATGTCAAATCTATATGGCACCTTATAAGGATTGTAGTTGCTGAATATAAAAATACGATACTTTTGATAGGCCACTGGTTAGTAACTAGTGTAATGTGTCTAGTTATTTGTTTGTTGTTGACTGAATTCTGTCAATCACGTTAAAAATTTGGCCACCATTTTTGGTGGATCGAAGTATCCAGTATAGAACTAATATCCTTTCTGAGATTCGAACCGGCGTCACCCAAAGATAGGACTAGTGTAATGTATCTACATTACACTAGTTACTGACTAGTGAACTATCAAAACTATTCAGTACAGTCCTACAGGAGGTCAATCATGAGCCCGAATAGCTCAGTGGTAACGTCTCTGACTGCAGCACTCGGCGATGTTGATTCGAATCTCAGAAGGCAAATGGGTTCCTTCAAGGTTGCAGATAGGCCTTGCTGGCTGGTGAGTGTCAACCAGTGCGAAACCTAGGTCAGGCAAAGCTTCCTGCCGATTGCCTCCAAACATCTAATAAAAATAAGACAACAGGTTTAACCAATATGCGGTTCTATAAATAATACTCAAGCTTAGATATGATCTTAAGAAAGTAATGTCAATAATTGAACTGAAAGTACAGATTTATTCAATAGTTATTAAAAATCATTAGTTCTTTTGCTTTAGGAAGATTTTACAATTTAGTCAAAAAGTACAGTTAAGTTAGAAACACTTTCTTTTCTGAATATCTGCAGTATCTTATTGCTCATATTTTGATTCCACTTCTTTTTAACCACTTGTAGCTGCTTAACTAGTTAATCCAACTTCCGTCGACACTTACTATAGAGGAACTTCATAGGTCAACTTATACAGCATATACTTCCAATGTTTTCTCATCCAACTCTAAGTTTCACGTAAAAATTATTTACTCTTTAGTTCAATCTTGCTTATTTTTAAAAGCTTATATCTGATTATGTCTTACATCCGTAGCATCAGTAATTCTCAGCTGTAAGTTTAAAAAAAACTGATCTCCTTCTGTTAGATAAGGTGGCATAAAAGGTGACACACGTTTGCAAATGATAAGCGAGGATTTTATATCGGTTTTTTCGGTGACCTGTCCAGTAAGACCACTACAACTTGTTAACATATTTTGAGCATTGCGTTTGACACCTTAATCTTATTTCACGAAATTATGAGTTGTCATAGATCATTCCTGCAGTGTCATCTTAAATTAGACAGTAATGAATCGCATACTATGCATGTAGATTAATGTTTGCAATATCTTTATCCAAGAGGATTATACCATCAAAGTATTCTAAATTAATTGGCTTTTTTCAAGTTTCGGATCAGTTTCTGTGAAATTAGAGTTGGCTAGATTCACCGATATCAGCACACATGCAACCAAATTAAGTAAAATTAATGTCGTTAAGCGCCCGTGTCAAGCATCATTAGTTATAATGATCTTAAAGGAGTTCGATTAGAGTGCATGTATTTCACCCAAACATTCTTCTCAGGGTCAGGTACTGTTGCAGTAACGTTCGGTCAAGGACAATGAGTGCAACTTTCATTCCACGAAATAAGCGAAGTGTCATACTACACTACAGTACAGTACAGGGTCTTCGGTCTGTACTGAAGATCAGATGTCCGGGCTGGAAAGAATCACCAACAAGAAACTATGGGAACAAACAAAACAAGAACCAATCTCCCAAAAACAACAAATATGCAGGAGAAAGTGGAGATGGATTAGACACTCGCTGAGGAGGCCGCCGGGTGACATCGCGTGCGTGTCACACCATTGCTCGAGTGGAACCAGGCCGAAAGGGAAGCGGCGAGTGGGGCGTCGGTGCAAGGGTGACATGGAGGAGGTCGTGTGAAGAGGAGTTGAAAGAGTATGGACTAACATGGATGCAGGTGAAAAGTACAGCAGAAGGAAGACAGAAGTGGCAAGTGGAGACGTGCAGTTGAAGCATTATGTTCCACTAAGAACCTAAGGGAACAATAATAATAACATACTACAGTAAATACATCTGCTCAAAACCTGTCGTATGATTAGGATTTGACTAGCGCATCTTCAGTAAGCATTGAAACCTGCTTGTCTCTTCTGAGCTTATTCTCACCTACACGTACACAAACCCTTACAAAGTCAGGTATTTTAGAAAATATATTATAAAGACTAAGTTCCCTGAAGTTAACAAATGGGAATTTTTCTGTTTTTTGCGAACTCAAACAGTCATCTACCCACTTCATTCCAATGGGGCAATCTAATATTCTTAAACACTGGTTAGTTAATGTAGTCAATGTATTTATCACTCAAATTAAAGGTTTCACTTTCATTCCTAAATGCTTATCTTGGCATTGTTTGAGTTCTCTAATACTAAGACGTTTTCTAGGGCTGTGTCAAAGTTCAAACAGTCATTAACAATTTACTAGTGATTTATGGTTTGTCCATGTATGAAATGAAATGCAACTGATTGGAGAGAAAGTTAAAACCAAATATAAAAACACTTTGAATTATTATAAAGTAGCTTCTTAACATTTATTGCACATGATCAATAAGAAACGAGACCAAGTTTAGAGGTAAGTGAAGTAAAATATGTCATAATCTTGCATTGATTTGATGTCATTGTAATAAAAGAAGCACCACATTGGCGGAAAGTCGAACCAGGAAAACGGAAAAATCTTTTTTGAGATGGTAAAATTAAATTTTGGAGGCAGCATAGAAAACGGCGATTTTTTGTAGGGAGCTCAGAGTTGATCGTGCTGCGTGAAGTCTTTGACCAATGATTACGACAAACGCAGAGATTTTATGTTTTAAAATGGTAGTCGCTTATACTTCTCATCAATTCTATTTCTACGTTTCATAATCAGAGTGTTGAAGCAGTTTCTTCCAGAAATAATCTTTCATTTAGATATTCTAGTTTAAAGAACTAGTCACTTACCAAGTCAGTTGAATTAGGTTTGATGCAATTATTCAAACTTGTTTCGATTGTTAAAAAGTTCATTTCCGATTATTTGCTCATCTATGTAAAATTTTATTACTGCTTCAATACTTGATGTATTTTAATACCTGATTCCAATATCCGTGCACCTTATTTATTATTCAGGACTTCCATGATAAATCAACACAGATTCGTTTTGGACCGAATAATAGTCCACTGCCAACTGGAGTTATATTACACGGGGCATCAGACGTCTTACACACAGATCAGTATAAAGTAGGATTATGGCCATGAAAGATATTGTTTCGCATGCACCAAACGCACGTATTAATGATAATATTTTTGTTTACATCTGAAGAGATTGCATGACTGCATGTGAATTTAGTTAAAATTGAAGATATACTCGCTATTTGATTTTTGTTGTAAGTAGTCTCGTTTTTCAATTTTCATTTTTTTCATGTGTCACTTATTTTCATGTCTATAGGTTTCCAAACAGTAGGTGTTGCGAACTTCTTGGAATAATTTGAGCGCCGAGTCAGATTGATTCATTATGAATTATTTAAATTAATCCCAGAGTGTTAAGAAAATCAAAACAAGATTTTCTTGAACGTTTCGCCGTGTAAGCCACAGCTTCTTTAGCAGATTTATTCGGATTTTTATTAATCATCAAAATATATAATATATATTTTGATGATTAATAAAAATCCGAATAAATCTGCTGAAGAAGCTGTGGCTTACACGGCGAAACATTCAGAAAGTATTTTGCATGTCTATTGCTAATTGGTGTGAAGTGAGTGACTGTCGCTGAGTAAGAATAAGTTTCAAGGAAATACTCCTTAAACAACACTTTAGTAGTTGGAATTTCGACATGGAAATACCTGGTTCTTCCTTTCCCTTTTCATGTCTTAATTGAGAAAATAGTCCTTGAAACGGTTTATTGCGATGAGAAGTTTTATAAACTCTTAAGGACCCAACAAAATAATGTAACATATATTGTAGTGACCATTCATCAACATAATAATTCATCTTATTAAGACTGTCATGTAAGTGCATCTTCAATCTCTGACCTTACTGCTTCATATACGAAATTGATATTCCATTTAAAAGAAACAGCAAGTTTATTCTGTACTAGTTATCATTTGTTTGAAGTCGGCAGTGTTGGTCACGATATCTGTAGATATTTTTTGGGCTTAACATAACGGAGTCATATTTATACTAGATGAAATGAGAATGAGGCGTTTGATTTACACTTGAATCGAACCAGAATCTTCTGTGAAAATACACACTGTATTCTTTTTGTTTTCAGGGCACAGGGTTAATGGTCAGCATATCTATGCCTGTCTATAACAGAACAGTGAGTCCTTAGTGTGAATAATTGTTTCTGATGTGTTTTGCAGGTGTTCATTTCCTTTTATTGTAAAGTAAATTTATTTGAAATGTAATCAGCATTTGATACACCCAGGTCCGTTGATAAAATGAAAAAAAAGAAAGATGAATATATTTTATTGGTGACTGGCTGCAACTGCATATGTTCCTGATATTATTGTTTTTATGTGTTATTTGAATCTATCCATGTCATTTGGTCATCATGTACCATATATCTATTGAACAGCAGTATGCCAGAAACAGCACAATAATTATTAATCCCTTGGGTTTCGAGTGGGACGTAGGGCTTCAAAAAGACATCTCCACTTTGTCCTGTTCCCTCTGGTCCTCTTTAGCTAGGCCCACGATTGCCCATAATCTCTGATCTCCTCCCCACATGACTTCTTCCATGTTACACTAGGACTCACACTCAGCTTGTCGTTTCTACTCGGGTTCCATTCGAGCAATGGTCTGACGCGCGCAACGTCTTTCAACAGTCTCCTCAGTGTGTATTCAATCCTTCTCCATTTTCTCCTGCATCTTTGTGGAACGGTTGGTTCTTGGTTAGTTTGTTCGCATAATTTCGCGTTTGCTAATTCTTTCCACCAGCCATTTGATCTTTAACACTGAAGCAGCGAAGGCAGCTGTTGATAAAAGTCTACAACATTTTGGAAATCCTTTTCGTGACACGCAGTACAAGTTTCTGGCCCATTAGGGATGTACTAAATGACTTCACATTTGTGTTGAAATTGCGAATCTCATTCTTTGTATTGAGCTTATGTAAAATATTATCATGCCTACAACTTACGCCAAACCTAAATAGATTCGTAGGAATTCAACTGAGAATGAGACATTTACTTAGCACACTTGTTATCTACAAATAATGTGGTTACCATTTAAGGTGGTAAATTTTATTCTTAGCAGACATACATTGAACTATTAACGCTGATCTATTTTTTCATCAGTAATATTTTATAGGTAGAGGTGTTTACATTCCACGATTACTACATATTCATTTGATATCAACACAGATTGATAATCAATATTCAGTTTTATAATTACACTGTTTAACTAAAATGAACATTGGTATGGGTGCTCATTTATTTGTTTTTATTTCAATTACTTTTGCTTTTACACGCTTTCAATGTTTTGTAACATGAATTTTAGAAAAGATTAGAATTTCTCGGTCTAATGGGTACAGAATTACCAATCAGTTTGATGATGCAAGGATTACCTCAAACAAAAGTAATTGCATAAGTCTTATTTATATTTATGTATTTGTAGTTGCGAGATTCTCACTACTTGTTTGTATAAGACTTATTAAATTCATGTACATTTAAACTTGGTGTTGTTATACCGACTTATTTAAGTCTCCTCAAATAGGGAATTTTGTTCTACTGCAGTTAATATCCATGGTTTAAAAGATTATTCTATTTCAAGTTTAAAACAAATATACCCCAGCTACATAAGATGGTAACTTTTGTAACCAAATGGAATGATCCGCGTACAGAAGTGTCAGTATTTTGAACTCAGTTCAATGGTGGATTAAATGACTTAAAAATTACTACATTGATTTCTTGAAAATTCAGACTTATGAACGCTTCTTCTTAAGACAACAAACAATTTTTTCCGATTTACTCCAGTATTTCGACGGCCTTACAGCTTGTATCACTATATGTTTTTAAGTAAAAAAAAACTAATTCGGAAGTAGTTATTCAACTGATAAATACGCTGTCTGAATCTAGTCGACCAACTTTGTTATCCTGTAGGGATAATGAGTAAAGTTCATGGTAAAACATGATTAGTAATGGACAGACTTATCAGAGTAGGGTGTAATCGAGTATTTGAGTCATGCTAAGTGTGTGATAAGATCTACATAATTGTGTGTGTGTGTGTGTGTGTGTGTTAGAAGTGGATGGTAAAAACCTCGTGTGGTGCTAGGTGGACTTATATTCTGATATTTAATTAAAATCAAGTTACTCTTAGCTCTTATGTTTATTTTTATGTACAAATTTGTGGAAATTCGCGTACTTCATATTTTTCATGAAAAAGGGAAAATGAATAAATAAAGAATCAAACCGATAAATGATATTTAGTCACTGTATTATGACTTGGTTAAAAATATTAGCCAAGCGACTCACATGATTATATGTTTCTTACTCATATTCAGTGAAAATGAGGATGATTACACAGTGTGAAAATAGCCACTATATTTAGCCTCATGGTTTTATCTAATTCCGAAAATAAAGTTATGATTAGTTGGTGAACAATTCTGTTGAACAGTCTTAGAAATTAGCGCATGATATGTTTTAATTCTGATTTTAAATTTTGTTGTGTAAAGTAGATGTAATCAACCTGTCGAGCAGTGGCTCGTTGATCGTTACTTTAAGGTTCCAAGCCCTGGATAACTTTTTTGAACCCTAACCAGAACGCCTACAAAGGGTTTGGACAGCCATGTATTCCATAAAAATCCTTAATTAATCGCTGTTGGTTCATTGCCAATTGCATAGAAATGCAAGTGGTTACTAAGAAACACTTCAGTTTTTGTAATAAATTGAGATAACTTAGGGAAAATCAAACACTCTTGTTCATCTCTGACATTGATGAGTGTCTGCAGTATATAACAAACTGTCTGAAAAAGTAAAATGTATACAACTAACATCTGACGTCATCTGTCCAAACTAGGGAAAAAGAGGTAGTACACTTAAGTAGAGAATAAACAGTTTGCACGTTACAGATTATTAAGATTAATAGGCTGCAGACCAACACAATTCCTATAGATTTACAGTACAGTAGAGGTTCAATACAGCTTTGAATGAATCAACAGTAAGTGCAGATAAGATGTGCTCCAACAGCACGTTCCTCTGTTTCTTAATACGATGCTGGAAACGGGCTTCCAGATGTAAACGATTTAGCCTCAGATTTTGAGCTTTGAGGGGATGGCCACTTAAGGTCTATGAGGCGGCCTTGCAACCAAAAGGTCCTGGGTCCGAACCCTGGCATTAGGGGCGTACTACCGAAGAATCCCAAGCTAGGACGAAACACATGTCCACTATTCCCAGGTGGTTTTCGAATGGCCCTCTAATGGATGTCAGCTCCTAATGAGATCCTGTAACCAATCAAATCCCTGCAAAACTAACACTTGGAATTCATAGTGAATTATTGATAAAAATGTCAAATCTAATTATAAGTTACAACTCTTTTCCGATTTACTGTGATGATATTTTTACTGTGTATGTGCTGTTGCTTTCTTCTAACTATTTAGCTTTATCCAGTTGGATATGCTTTCGTTGTTAACACCAATGGTTACTTGGTTTTTCATCCAAGTTTAGTACCTGAAGTAAGTTTTTTTCAAATAATTTCCATTTATTATATTTTTGACTAGTATTTTGATTTACGTGCATCAGTTAGAATTTGAAAAAAGGACAAACATATAGTTACCAAAGTAGTACTATATATATATATATATATATATATATATATATATATATATATATATATATATATCATTCCTTTACGTTCCCAGTGGAACATAATGCTTCAGGCTAGAGCTTTGATATTTCAGTAGCAGTGGCTCTTTATTTTTACAGGATATGGTTGTTAGCCTCATGCTCAACCTCCCCTCTTTACCAGTCTTTTGTCTACTGGCTTAGCGAGGTAAAGTAATGCGTCGGCTGAGGGTTGAACCCAAAACCACCTGCGTGGTTGCCAAGCTTTCTACCGCTGTGCCTACATATATGTATATGTGTATATAGGCATTCGTTTATTAAAGATGACGAATTGAATTTCTTTCAGATACATAATCAGTCCTGATATGTTCCTAATGCTACAATAACTAACCATTTATCAGTGAATTAGAAATTGATAGTGTCTTTGGGAAATCACACTTTTATTATAAATTACTGATATCATGACAGTGATATATATATATATATATATATATATATATATATATATACGATAAATCATAAAATTGGTCTAAAAATAGCATAACATTATTAATAAATAAACAAGTGTCTTTTGTAAACTGCATGGAGCAAATTATTCAACACAAGAAGAAATCGTATAAGGCTATAGTGCATACTTTAGATGTAAAGATGAAAATATAATTAATGTGAAACTATATTACTATAGTGTACAATTATAAGTGAATAGCTGATTACGGAGGTTAGTTTGTTATCATATGTTAGAAAAGTATTATATGTTTTGTAAGTCTTAGTTTGTGCTAGAAAATAATGTCATGTGACTTCATTTCAGTGCGTAAACATTCTTTATTTCAGTTACCATGCCGCGATTCAGGAAGGCGTATGTGTAGTGAACGTTAGGATGAATACAATCAAGTACCTCATAGCACTGAAAACAAACATATGGTAACATGTTACAGAATAAATCAAAATATTACTCGTCTTTGCATAAGTTTTTCTTCCGACACCTATTTGCCATGTTATACTCTGTTGATTTTCAGAAAAATCTTTTGTTTAACCTACTAATATAAAAAACCTAAGAAGCTTTGGCATTACTTAGTCTTTTTGTAATTTATAAATTCTCCTGTCTCATCCTATCTTATATTTTGTTCCTCTTCTCCCTTGAATTACTGACAAGAAACTGTTATATTAAGCATAACCTTAAAGATGGTTCCTAGGACGTACTTCTAGCCCAACTTCACTGACTCCATTCTTGACAGATCTTCAAACTTGTGTTAGCAGTTGGATAAACCCATCAGATTCTTAACATCCGCTGTGTGTGTCTTTAGGAAACATGCAGGGATATTTCATAAGACTATATTTTCAAGATCAAATGTAAAATAATTATTTCTAGTATTCATACATTCAGATTTTTCTGCACAAGTTATATATTTAAAAGACTGTTCATAACTCATAGTCTGCGCAAATTCTTTCATTCTTGTAGTATACCTGGCTAGACGATACTCCATTCTTAGATTTCCTTGATGTTGAACTGAATGTTTATGGATCAAAAACTGTGGTAAGTCCACCCTTTTTTGTCATTATTTTTGCTAACTAATTAACCCATGTAATTATATGACCTCAGTTACCTGAAATATTATCTAATAAATAGGAAAACTGAGTAAAATTAAACTGAAATTTGTTAGCAAACTGTAATGTTCTACCTCAATGCACAGTCACTGAGTTGCTTCAACAATAACTTATTCAACGAAACGTTTGATGAGAAATTAGGTCGTTTTTAAAAAATAATACAAACAGAAACTTCCAGCAGACAAAACTCTCCCAAATATGATATTCAGAAACAGTTGTACATGGTAAAACAAATTAATGCAGGGTAATATTGATGACAAAATCTATTGGAGACTTACTGAGATACAATTGATTTTGAGTAAGCTTACGATCCGAAGTAAATATATTGCTCAAAGCAATATTCTCGAGCGAAAAACTAAAGTTCTTAATGCAGCGACTCATCTTAAGGTGCATGACGACATATGGCAGTTTTTATACTTTTATTTTATTTCTTTAAGTTCCCAGTGGAACATAGGGATTCAAGCTAGGGCTTTGAAGTTTCTGTCTGTCTGTCTGTTTTCGACATAGAACTTTGCACATATGTGCAGCAGTTCAAGTCGCCACACCCCCTCCATGCATCACACAAAGTAAGGTCAGAAAGTAGAAGAAATGCATAATAGAGACAGTAAACAGAGGTGTGAGACAAAGGAATAGTAATAACGAAGAACAATGTAGTTTCATTGGAAATCATAAGTCACAAGGAGTGGATGCATCTGAGTCATTGAGAACGATTTGGAGCCATGTCACCAATTGTTTCCAACCATTGGTTTTTACCGTTCCGAGGGCCCCAACCAGTCAGGAAGTCTACACCTTCCTACGTGGCTTAGACTAACTGTTGTAGATTTCATTGACTGATACCATGCTTTTGTTTGATCTCCGCTTTGAAGTTTCAGCATGAGCTTGCTAGCCTCATGCCCGATCTCCCCTCTTTTCCAGTCTTTTGTTTCCTGGCTTAGCGAAGTAAAAGAGTGAGTCGGTTGAGGATTGAACTCCGAACCGCCTGCGTAGTTGGCGAGCATTCTACCACTGTTCCACCAACTCACGCCAGTTTCTATACTGATTCATTTTTTGTCTGTGAGTATTGTTTCAGGGAAAAATACATTAACACTTGTATTCTATCAGAAAAGTAATTAGTGGAAACTGCACATTACTACTAATTATAATTATGAGAATCGTTATTCTGATATACTTACACTTAGTTCTTCAAACCATCGCCAGTTAAAACTGAAGGTATAAATTTTCACAGTGTCTGTTATCCACTTCAGTTAAGCAGTTATTTAGGTTACAGAATGTATATATAGTAATTTTATATTCCTATGGCCACATAAGTTGATAAAATCTGTTTATTTTCAGTTGGCGTAGCGCTAAATCACGAATCGGTAGAAGTTAGAATTCATTGAATCCGGTCCCAGTGGTTGAATAGTATATGAGCTTGCCTTGTAACCGGAAGGTCCTGGGTTCGAGCCCTGACAAGGGGTGCGTACTGCTGATGATTCCCAAACTAGGATGAAACAGTAGCTATCCAGTACTCCCTGGTTTTTAATACTTCCTTGACTGATATCAATCCGTGATCAACTCGGATCAACTGTGCGTCGGTAGCACAGTGGTTAGGACTCTCGCCGACCATGCACATGGTCCAAGGTTTGATCCCCTGCCGACGCACACCTGATATATATGGTCGGCCTGCAAAATTTGGGCTACCGATATCCATGCTGAAAATTCTATGCTTGTACCAAAAATACGGTGTGGAATCAAGCTGTAATCAAAAATTAAAAAAATAAAAAAAAATAAATAAACAAAAATAAAAAAATATTTCATGTTTGTATGATACCAGAAAAGTGATTATTTTTCATCTGAAATTATTTTTTCCTAAGAGTTGTTGCTCTTATAATTAATTAGTATGATAATGTGAATTATTTATTGTTTTGGTAATTAAGTCCTCTCTCATTATTTTCACTATAACTAAAAATATGTCCCTTTTCATTGTGTCTCAATCAAAAGATATTTAAAATCTTTCTCGACTTTGTACAAAGCTTTATTTGTCCATATGTGTTGAATAAGGATGTCAAGCTATACATAATTTTTGATTGAATTCTGATTCTGTACTTGTCAAAAATTCAAAATGAAGTCGATTATATTATTATTATTTGTCCATTGGGCTCCGAATAGAATATTTAGCTTTATTCTGTTCTCTGAGGTCTTTTCAAGTTAGCTCTACGGTTGCCTACAAGCTTACATTTTTTCTCCCCATTATCTCTCCCACATTACCCTAGAAATGATAACCAACTCATTGCTTCAAATTCGGGTTTCACTGGATGGTCTGGTATGTGATTTCTCTCAACGGTCTTCGCAACTTGTGTCCATTCTACCTCTATCTCCTCTGCTTCATACTTGCTGATCAGTAGATTCCTGGCCCGCTAGTTACCAGTGTTCCTTGTTGCTTATCCCTAACTGAATTGACTTCATGCTTTCTGTCGAATAACCACTCCGTATTTTTTTCAGCTGATTTAAATAAAACAGAGTTTCAAGATTACTTTTTTTTATAGACTTTTGTCTTATTGATTGATCTAACAGTTCTAAACACACTGAATCATCTACTGTAATTGTAGCTATAAATGTAAGTTATTGATTAGAATGTTGAAAATAAGTATTTTTCCCATATATGTATATCACATAAGGAACTGACCAACTGCCTCTCTGTAGATCTCACAATTAGCGTTCATAATGCTTATACGGAACAATAACATTTAATATTCCTTCACTGTATAGTCTTTCATCTTGGTAAACGTATGGAAACAATGATTTTTATTTTAAATAAACAACAACTTACCTTTCTTTATTTATTAGATAAGGAAGAAGTTAATTGATAATGAGCGGGGATCTGAACAAATTATCGATTTCATCAAAGTATCAGACAATGTAAGTTCCCTGACATTTTTATTTTCTTTAATAAAACGAGCACTTTGTATTCCTATGATAAGTATGTAAACAATACACTGGTTCAGTAGTAGAATGCTCAATAGGCAAATGGGCGGTCTGAGTCGATCCCGGCCGACGAATTTGTAAACTTCGGCTAGTTAAATAGCTAGTGGTAAGCGCGGAAAGGAAGTAAGTTTAAACGTGAGCCTAGCAGCACCATGAAGGGGATAACAACACTACCAAAACTTCAAGCTCTAAGAAATATATTCTACTGGAAACATAAAGGACAGATGAAAAAAAAATCACATTATCCAAATTTTAAACATTGGGTTTTCCTTACCAAACTGTTATTGAAGTTAAAGTTATTGACCACAGTCGGTGAGTAACCACATTGCCGCTCTATCAATAATTCTGTGTATCTCACTCTAAATCACAAATGTAATGTACATTTAAAAATTTGCTTCAACTTGATACGTGGTTTGGACCAACAATGTTCTGTCTTGTCTAGTACAGACTCTTCCAGAATTAATATCAGTAAAAAGTTTGAGCATTGTGGATTAGATCAAATAAAGTTTAACAATTCCAACAGTGGTGTGAACACGGGCAGTAATTTTGCTCGAAATATTACCAATAACAAAACCTTTCATTGTGTGTAAATTATTAAAATATAATTATACTTTATTCTTCCAGAATTATTTACAAAAATGTCAAGAATAGAAAGTCGAAATGATTCATTCATTCCATGGATAGACACTTTAACGTTTATGCATAGCTTTATTATAACAGAAGTTTTCTGATTTCGTAGCTCCTAACTATACATTCCTTACGAGTCAACAATCCGCTTATGGTAGTTGGCCTTACCAAACATTTCCTCAGAAGATTCAAATAACAACAAGGTAAAACCTTCATCCCAACAGTTCTGTTCCAGTCATGCTGTTTAAAAGTAACCATTGATACAAAACTCTGGATAAAGTTAGAGTGTAGTGATCCAGGTTTGTCAGCGTACCAATGACCTTCAAGGAACACTATTCGTTGGATAATGGGCTAGTGTGAAGGAATTAAGTTGCAAATTTCATCCTGACCCCGTGCTTAAGTACTGTTTGGATAATGTGTTGGGTTAGTGTTAGGATTAAGGTTGGGATTAGGGTTGGGAATAAGGTAAAGGCTAGAGTGAGGGTCTTTTATTTCTATTATCTTCATTTTTCTAGTAAGCAGTTGTCGATCTCCATTCTAATTTAGTGGGTGACTTTCGGGAGTGACTAAAGAACTAAAGACTAATACTGCTCATCACAATTGGGGGGATATTTGTAATCCATGTAACGAAGAAATATCCTGTTTAATTTGTCATCATTCTCTGTATTTCTTTTGTAAATAAACGTCATTTTTATGTAAAAAACACCGGTTTTCTGCTTGGTTACCTCAAGGTCAGTCGTGCGTTCGCATTCTATGGATTGGTATAATTTAACTTTGCCAGTTACTGTTCATTAAAGAATTTGAAAGTTAGTACTTATCTATACTGAAGAATTTTTGCGTAATAATAATGTGCCCATTGACTTAATAATTATTGATTGGCTTTCAGGAGAACTGAACACATCACAGCCTCTTAAAAAACGAGAACTGTATTAAATATCATCCTTTAGCACAACCAACCACATGGGTGCTATCTGTCCCACCGGTGAATTTCTTTTTTTACGAACAATGAAGTTCTTCAGGATTATTCGCTTTTTGTTAGCATTATGGAAATTTTATTATTCTGATAGAATTTCTAATTAACTTCACATGGCTTGTATGGCTTTTTAATGCTCTGTACACTATTTATCACCATTATTTTAAATGTCTACTTATTTAATTGACATTTTATTATAATTTAGTCTCATTGGCAGAAAAAACTGTCGAGTTCGTTAGTTTCGAACACACGTGCTAACACAGTGACTATGTATTACAAAGAATAATATTAACTACTATACTTACTCTTCAGGAGATGAGTTTACATCGTTAATTAGATTGTTTTTCTTCTTCTTTTTTGTGACAGAAAAACACCCTAGATGTCTTCAATAGGTTGAAAACTAAAGGGTGGTATCTGAGGTTATTCTTTTTTGTTTCTCTTCATATAATCATATCTTTTGGCGCTAGTTTTCTATTAAAATTATTTTTACGAGTTGATCACGGATTGATATCAGTTAGAGAACCATTGAAAACCATCCTAGTTTGGTGATCAACTCGTAACAACATAATTCAATCTTACAAACCAAACTATAGAAAATTAATCTGATGCTCGCTAGTGACTACTGGCTGCAGGATGGAAATTCCTCGAGTTCTAGTGAGAAGTCGTGACCAGTGAGGTCCAATTAGATGTCAGGTGTGTGGATGGATGTCCCATCAACGACAATGGTTGGGGTCACGCTAAATCACGAATTGGTAGAAGTTAGAATTCATGGACTAGCCACTGAATCGGGTCCCAGTGACTGAATGGTATACGAGCTTGCCTTGTGACGGGAAGGTCCTGGGTTCGGAGCTTGGCAGTGGGTGCGTACTTCCCATGATTCCCAAACTAGGATGAAACAGCAGCTGTCCAGTACTCCCTGGTTTTCAATTGTTCTCTAACTGATATCAATCTATGATCAACTCGTAAAAACATAACTAACCCTTACAAACCAAACTATAGAATATTAAAATTCTATTATTTTATCTAAGCAAGGCAATGCCAAACAAGTCTACAAGCTAAACTGAATTCACCATATTTCATTTTTGTTTCTATTAAATGCGTGATAGGTAACAGGCTTCGCAGATTCCAGTAAGATTTGTATGAAAACATTGCAAAACTTAATAATGGAACAGTGATGACAAACAAATAGAACTCTTAATTCAATAAACGTTTGTAACTGCAAACATGTTCTCTTAATAGCTTAACTTATAAGTGACCTCACATGTATGAGAAATATGAAGAGAAGAAGATGGATGTCACCTTGTAAGATGTATAATTGTCTGTAAAACTAAATGTGAGTACCATAAGAAGCGAAACAGTTATCAGATAAAAAGAAAGATCTAGAATTTTCGCCATTATAATTGTAAATGAAGACTAACAATGATTCTTACTGAATCCCAATCTAAGATTTTTATATCTGAATATTAGTAGCTACTCCTGAACGAAGTATAGTAGGATAATTCTCAATATACTTCCACCATTCACATGTTACTGATAAGATTTATCAGTAGTATATGTAAGGAGAAATTCATCTGTTTAAAACATTAAATAGCAGAGAGATTTGATGTCAGAAAAAGCAAATGATACATCGTTGAGGAGATACTTGAAAGAAGTGAAGGTGAGAAGTAGCACAACACGGGAGATTTGTTCAGATGGTGAGTTGCAGATCAGGTGTACATAATTTGGCTGCATAAAGATAACACTCCATCGAAATAGGCTGTAAAATGCACTTCATTATACCATCTAGTCTTTTTTTTTAATTCTTGATTGTTTGCTTTTGCTTTTCTTGAATGCATTGAGACGAAGAGAGGTTATACACTAATGTTTTGTTTCTAAAAGTCTCAAAGTCATCTAGATACAAATGTATATGATTTCGTACAAAATCTTTTCTTAATACATCCAATTAAACTATTGTTGTTACTTAACTAAGCATTATAGTATTTTTGAAAGGTATGATCTGTAGAACAATTCCTGCATTCCACTTAGCAGTTGGTTTGACCGACTGTGTTTCTAGTTGTGTTTAATCGTTTTACTATACTTTCTAATTTTTAGATACATACCTATGTTAAACCAAGACTTTATTCATTCACTAAATTACTAAGTACTGATTTTGGGTAAGTTCCTTTTAATTTCATAGCAATTGTTTTAAGCATTGCTATTATAATGTTATAGCATATTCAGCCCGTTTTCTAAAATACTGTTTTATATAATGAAACTTATACTGGTCAGATTTGTGTTCACGCTGTCTTATACAATTTAACAGATAAGGTTTCATGGTTGTTAAGGGTTATTAAAGACAGTCTATAAGAAATTCAGATTATACTGGTTATATAACGTAGAATATCTTAAAGGAGGCGAAATCTGATTTTGATGACTACTTGAAATCAGACATGTATTTTTGTGCGTCGGTGGCACAGTGGTTAGGACTCTCGCCGACCATGCGCATGGTCCGGGGTTCGAGCCCACGCCGACGCACACCTGGTATCTATGGTCGGCCTGCGAATTTCGGGCTACCGATATCCACGCTGAAAATTCCACACTCGTCCCAAAAATACGGTGTGGAATCAAGCTGTAATCAAAAATAAAAAAAATAAAAAAATTCTACCTGTCTACATTCAGGCCACTAGCTTGAAGTCCTATGTTCCACTGGGGAACATGAAAGAAAAAAAACATTCCAGCTTTTCTAAGTGTTTTACATTTAAGTTATTCTGCTGTTATTTCAGTTTCTACTTGGAAAATAATTCCTCACTTCAGTGTAAATGTCTCTAGTTTCATTTCATAGACTCTTTCACACATTTCAGTACTGAAGTTGTTTGGTTCCGTATTTCTATATTGCTCTTCTACAAATCACAGGCATAAATGAATCATACCTCGATTGTACTCAAGATACTTTATTTTTTCATCTTATGCGCTAATTAAAAACTCAGACAACATCTATATTAGTAAGCAGTGATTATATTTTACTTGAATATAACACTGACTATAATCCTTTATAGAGTAAACGAGATATTTTATAGTCCACTTTATTTACATACCAACCAACAAAGGATACCTTGAGATGGTTATATGAAAGTCTTTTTAAGTAGAAAAAGTATTTAATGAAAAGTAAACCTCCTTTATGAATGATTTCATAAAACACAACATGCAAAATGTCGTTTATTTTTGAAAGATTGGTTTTGAAATTTTCCTTGTTTGAGAATGTGATTACACATTCACCTTCTCAGAAACTTGTAGGTCATAGTAGCTACTTCTATACTTCTTCTTCTTCTTCTTGTAGTCAGCACATCATAAGATATCCTAAACAGTGAAATTTCTGAAGAAAATTTTAATAATTGATGACAAAACAAACATTAAATGATGCATTTATTCATCAAGTGTGACTGTATCTTTGAATCAGCCTTAACACAATACACTGTTTACAGCGGGAAGTCATCCAATGCTTCACTAATTCTAGCTGGTGTTTCTTAAGGAGCTGTTGTTCTTCTTTTTCTGTTTTCTTTCTTCTTAAATGACTTGCCTCATTCTGACGAAGTCAATTTTCTTGAGTATGCTGATAATCTGAATGTTCCTATACCTGTCACTTCTCAGTTGAACTGTTCCAGAATGAATAACGTTTTGTCAGAAATTAGTCAGTAGTCCTTGTAAAATGGTCCTGAGCCTCATGCCTCCAAATGCCAGGTTTTTAGTTGTTGTTTTTTTGAAACGCTAGAGCGACTCACATGAACTGGTTACTTCGCGCGGTTTCATTATCATAGATGCCACAGAAGTTGAAAATAAATCGAATGTTAAATACCTTGAAGTGTGCATTTACTCTAATCTTTCTTGATCTTTTCACATCATTTTAGTTTCCAGAATGATATTTCGTTTAGCATTCTGTGTAAAGAAGTTAAGCTGATCTAGTATCATTCCATCTCCACTGTTATCGATTGTTAATTCTTATATTCTACCTATACTTCTTTACTGCTTCTTCTAAATCTTTCCTAGGTTACTTAAGAAAGACTTTATTAAGCTGCGAAGAGCGCTAAAAGCTGTCAGTAGGGAGGGTGGGGTGTTGCTAAGCCAATATCGTTAATACTATATACAGATGGATTTCTGCAAGCAATTAGGAAAAATATTATTCTGTTGGACACTGAACATCCTCTCCACACACACACACACACACACACACACACACACACAACTTTCTCCTTCCTGCATCTCACCTGATAAAACTAGAAGCAACCATAGAAGACTGTATGTTTGAACGACTAAGTATAAAAACTCTATGATACCTTAATTAACACATATTTTATGTGATGTGAAAAGTTTTAGATAGAAAATTACCAACTTCCTGTGGAACTCTAAGTAAACAGCATTGATTTTTGTCCTCATTATTACACTGTCGTTAATATTTTCACTTGATTTAATTTTATGTTCATTTCTTATTGAACAATATTATTGATGTGAATGTCCTGTTTTTTATTTTTGACCGTGTAATAAGAAAATTAGATGCAATATTGTATTACATGCTGAAAGTCTCACATTAGTACCAAAGTACTGTTTGGAATAAAGTTATTATTATTATTATTATGATATCAGACAATATTATAAAACATCCTAATATTTTATTCCTAATTAATCAGTAGTAAATGTTTAGTAAGACAATTAAAGTACGATTGAGTTTTCTGCAGTATGTTTTTTATTTCTTAGACAGTATGATTTTAAAGGAACTTTATCGTCTGATGAATAAAGATGTAGAGTCCTGAAATTCATTGTGAAAACTTCTAAGATGTTATGCGAAGGTTTTATTTTACATTAGATGTGTATAAAATAGGATAATTTCCTACCTTTTCAAGTATTGGTTTCGTAGGGATTTGGTTGTTTGGTTACAGGATTTCACCACGAGTTGACATCAGTTAGAGAACCACTGGAAGACCAACTGGGAGTACTGGACAGCTATTTCCTCCATCCTAGTTTGGGACTCTTAAGCAGTACGCACCCACCGCTACGGTTTGAACCCAGGACCTCGTGGTTACAAAGCGAGCTCGTAGACCATTAAGCCACTGGGACCCAATCCAATGGTCCTTGAATTCTAACTTCTGCCAATTCACGACATAGTGCGACAATTCCGCAACGTCTTCTTCGATGAGTTACTGCCTCATCTTCAACCTGCTGTACCCTACTCGTCACGGCTTCCCACTAGAACCCCAGGTTAACTGCCTGAATAGGGCCAGTCACTAGTGAGCATCATTGGATCGGGTCCCAGCGGCTTAGTGGTCTACGAGCTCACCTTATAACCAGAAGGTCCTGGGTTTTGAACCCCAGTGGGTTGGTACTGCTGAAGAGTCCCAAACTAGGGCGAAACAGCTGTCCAGTACTCCCAGGTTTTCCAGTGGTTCTCTAACTGATGTCAGCTCATGACGAAATCTTCCTACTTTTTACTGAGTGATCAGATGATCAGTGCGTTTGGTAAGCTGATAGACTGATCACTTTTTCGAAGAACTAGTACATTCTGAACTATCACATTACATTTAAAGAAAAGAATGAAATGATGAAATTTTTACGCTAGAAATGGCAAAGAAGAAAACTAGTTGCTTACAGTTAATTTGGTTATGTTATTGGTCTGTGCTTGGATGTTTTGTCAGATTTCAAAGGATATATATATATATATATATATATATATATATATATTCATATTTCATCAATCACTTGTATGTGAAGGCTGTCTGTAGCCAAAAAGAGCCCTGGAAAATTGGACGGAAAATGTTATCGAAATGTTTGGTGTCAGAGGTTTAGGTGTTACGAATCAGCTAATCGGATGCAAATCTCCCAGAAGGATGAGAACTGCTATTTAGATGACGGCCACTTTGATCATAGACACGTTTTGTTCTTTAGCTTTTTAGCTTAGAATCACAGCTTCTGATTGCAATAGGCTGATGTGAACTGCTGTGTCGCAAAGCAAATTAACTAGTAACTTAAAATATTTTTTTGAAATTAATTCTCAGTATCATATATTTAGTTTATTTAGCCTTTTTTACATTAAGTTTCTGACTGTGATTAGTGAAATGTTTGAGAATGTTTTAGTGTAGTTTGAAAATAAAGTGAAGTGTATTCCAACTACTTTTACATAGACATATCTAGATAACTAAAGTATACACCTAAAGGCTTTTTACCACTTTTATTTACCGTCATTCACTTGGCGTCGGTGGCACAGTGGTTAGGACTCTCGCCGACCATGCACATGGTCCGGGGTTCGAGCCCACGCCGGCGCATACCTGATATCTATGGTCGACCTGCAAAATTTGGGCTACCGATATCCATGCTGAAAATTCCATACTTGTACCAAAAATACAGTGTGGAATCAAGCTGTAAATAAAAAATAAAAAATAAATAAATAAAAAATTGAGTATGTAGTGTAACTATTAGCTTACTAAAGCAACTGTTCTTAGGATAAAAATATGTAAAACGTAAAACGTAGATTTTCTAACTGTATTTAACGCATGAGTTAGAGGACCACTGAAAACCCGAGAGCAGTGGACAGGTGTTTCATCCTTACTTGAGACTCTTCTACAGTGGATATTCACCCCACCATAATGAATCGATTTTACTGGTATAAGCTGTGCCTGTGTCCTGAACCAAGATGAAGTAATTTTCCAGTGCTCCCTGATTTTGAATGGACTCCTAATTGACCTCTGTTGGTTACGAAATCCACATTGGATATTAGTGAAATCTTTTTACCTAAAGTATTGAAAATATGTTTAATGCAGTTGTACGTTTGGTTAATTTTGTCTGTACTACGATCGCTTTCAGAAGAATAACATTTTACAACTATTCATATTTGAATGTCTAGACAGTTAAATGACTATTCTTTAACACTATTTGACTTATGGTATGCTGATTTATGATTATGGTTTCTTTTTTTAGAGTGGCTTTTGTCGTACCTTCTGATCAACATTTATTTTTAAACATACCTAAAGAAGTTGAATTTTCCGTCAGTTCAGATTCCTCTGGCAATTATATGATCGATGATGGTAAGTTATTCATAAGTTGAACTGATTAACTGGATATCTCCTTTAGTCCATTTCTTTTGTTGCTGTGCTTATTGATTTCTGTATACCTTGTCTCCATCATTCTTTCATAAAGTGTGTTTAGATAATGTAGATAACGCTGATGTTGGTTGGTACTAACAAAATTAAATCTGAGTTATTTCAATAACAGGTGATCAATATAAAACGAGCAATAGCAACTAAACATTATGCTGTTGATATTTTAAGTATAGGTTTGTAGGGATTTGATTGATTGACTACAGGATTTCACCATGAGTTGACATCATTTAGACAACCACTGGAAGACCAACTGGGAGTACTGGACAGCTATTTCCTCCGTCCTAGTTCGGGACTCTTAAGCAGTACGCACCCACCACTAGGGTTTGAACCCAGGACCTTCTGGTTACAAGGTGAGCTAGCTCGTAGACCATTAAGCCACTGGGACCCGATCCAATGACAGCCCATGAATTCTAACTTCTGTCCGGTGGGTGCGTATTGATGAAGAGTCCCAAACTAGGACGAAACAGCTGTCCAGTAATCCTAGGTTTCCCAACGGTTCTCTAACCAACCCCGGCTCATGATGAAATCCTTATACTGTTGAATTTAATTATATATATTTATCAGTAAAGTGTTCTGCAGACTTAATTTCTCATCATAAATGCGATTTCACCTCACCTGTCATGTGAACTCGGTGAGAATGAAATGTTTTCTTTAGACAGAAATAAACAAATATTTTAAGGAAGTGATTATATCTGAGAATTATTAAAATAGGTTACTTAGATATTTTTATTGGACAGATTGTGTTACATGTTGTGGCTGGGGACATTATACCATTAGTTCCACTAGGTTAAACAAATTAAGTGATGCTATTGTAGACTAGTAAATTCTCAGGTTACCAGTAATACACTTATTTTCACAAAATACTTAGTGTTAAATTAAGTCAATAAGATGGATGAGTGACGCTTAATACTGCTGATTGATTAACACGAGTAGCTGAACAATTCTTCACATCAACGAGGAGTGGTAAGGAGTGGTGTCTCACTATTTGTCTTAAGCAGTTAGTAGTGTATAGTTCTGTACACCTATGCCTGCTTTCCTGGTTACTATTTATTGTTGATATTAGGTGCTTGGAGGCAGTCGGCCACAGGAAGCCTTGGACCTAGGTTTCGTGCTAGTTGGCTCTCACCAGTCAGCAACACATATCTGCAACCTTGAAGGAACTTATATCCCTTCTGAGATTCGAGCCTTCGTCACCCAAAGATAGGACTAGACACATTACACTAGTTACTAACTAGTGTTCAATCAAAACTATCCGATACAGTCCTACAGGAGGTCAATCACGAGCCCGAATAGCTCAGTGGTAACGTCTCTGACTACAGAATTGGTTGACGTGGGTTCGAATCTCAGAAGGGATATTAGTTCGTTCAAGGTTTCAGATACGCCTTGTTGACAGGTGAGTGGCAACTAGCACGAGAACTAGGTTAGATAAGGCTTCCTGTGGCCGACTGCCTACAACCAGCTAATATTATCAAATCAATGTGCACCGCAACGGCGAGCTACCTAGAATGGTGGCCACATTACAAACCTGACTGATAGAATTCAGTCTGCACCAAAGACAGGACTAGACACATTACACTAGTTACTAGTGTCCAATCAAAATACTATTTATTGTACCGAAAAGATCACATATGGCGATCTGAATAACTTTGGTTTCCAACAGAAACCATTGTGAAACTTCATCTTGAACTGTGCAGGCTGCAAATCACAAATCATTTCAGTAATTGTAAATTTGATTCAAGGAAGTATCTTTTGTGTTGTGTGTTTGAACCTATCTTGTGTAACATATTATTCACGTTATGATATGTGAGTCACACATAGTGTGTGAAAGTTGATGATACTACTTGATTACACAGGGTGATGTTAGTGCACCAAGATTCCATCTTGGGACCCACCTGCTGATATACAAGTGCTCACTGCGTGAGGCAGTGATTCACAAATCGTTTTTGTTAAAAAAGAAGTTATCCTGGTCACTGAAATTGAATCTGATTATATGTACAGCAGAAGAAAACTATCGTTTTCAGGTCTTTTTCAATTTTTTTTTTGAGGAATCTTCTTAATGTGGTAACTGTAGGCGCTATTCAACTAACCAAAATATTCACCAAACGCATTTAGATACCCGTCACCACTTAATCATTTGCATTATAAGAAACTGTTTCACTCAACCTAAATGTATAAGTATCAGTTTAATCGTATATGCTCAACATGACTAATCTTCTTTTTAGTTGTTATTCAAAATTTGATCAAAAAGGCCAAAGTGATATTACCATGGAAAGCAATAGATGGATATATTAAAGCTGGTTGCCATTTCTTTAATCTGGAGTCAGCTGAAGAACATGATAAACTGCACAGAAACGAAGATGAACAAGAATGGATACTTGCTGAATCAAAAAGACTTAAGGAGTTAGAAGAAGAGGAACAACAACTTAAAGAAGAATTAGAGGAAAGTATATCAACAGAGTATGTAGAAAATGGAAATAACACTCAGATTAATTCATCATTAATACAAGTGAATAATGGATCCACTTCTATCACTGAAGAAATAATATCAAACAGTACTTTATGCTTAGACGATACAAATTCCATCAATTGTTCAACAGATAAACCATTATTTTCAAGGAAATTGTTTAAGCGAAGTGTGTTATCTATGAGCAGTGGTGATGATTCATTAGCTTTGAATGACGCTATTATCACAACCACTTCTGATGAAGCTATAACGACAACAGCTACTACTACTATAAGCACCATTACTCAAACAACAAATGTGGAAAATTTTAATGAGCTCCCATACTTACCTTCAGAACAAACGTTGGAATCAATGGTTGTAGTAACTAGTGAATCAGTAACTTTACCTGAGGATTCTCCAGAAGTTGATGATTTTCAATTAAGAAGTATCCCTTTTGATACAACAGCTATTACGGCATCATTTGGTTCAACAACAGTTCCCTCAACATCTCCATCTAATGACTTTCAGCTAGTAGTAGAAGTTACAGTACCTGAAGATAAAGAAACTCCTTCAACCATTCCAACTTTAACAACAAGCACTGCTAATTTCATAAGTGAACCTGAATCACAAAAGTCAACAGATGAACAGATTGTAAACAATAACATAGAAATTGAACAGTCTGAAGTTGAACAAATACAACGTGATGATTTAAAGAATTTCCTTGATCAGATAAAGAATATAAACTCTAGTAAGTATTATCTATCTTATCCTAAACACCTCAACCCTTCTTTGCTGTTTTTTTTATTTGTGTTAGCTTGAGGCATGAGGTCTAATAGGATACTATTTAGTTGTCAAGGTGACACATTGGCCTGATTTTTGAAACTCCTGAGAATTACACACTAAGACGAGTGAAATTGTAGGCATTAGGTGAGGATTGGTAAAGTTAAAATGGTAAAGTTTTATGGCATACGTACTACGAAGGTTACTGGATCCAGTTATCTAAACGGAGTTAGGGAGATATATTCTCTTTCAGAGTGTTTTGTAGACTAATTTCTTAGTAATACCTTTTATTAATTTCTATGCCAGTTAAATATTCTGTGCAATAATAATAATAATCTACCTTTTCTAGGTCAATCAGAACTATTGTCACAGATTCTACTGGAGATTATCATAGCTGAAAAAGATGTAACAACAACAGCTGAATCAATTCAGCTGGATGGTATTATGCGTTCTCGAACCATAGCTCTTAATACCGGTCTACTATGGACAATACCAGTCAAGTAAGTTTGCATGTATACGTTTAATTTTTTCCTAAATGTTTAATTATCTTGGATAACAGGAATTCATCATGAGCTGACATTGGTTAGAGAACCATTGAAAAACCATCGGGGAGTACTGGAGAGATGTTTCGCCCTAATTTGCGACTCGTCACAGTACGCACCCACTAGTAGGGTTTGAACCCAGGACCTTCTGGTTACAAGGCGAGCTCGTATAGCATTAAGCCACTAGGAGCCGACCCAACTGCCGATGAATTCTAACTTCTGCCAATTAATGACATAGCGCGACCCCTAGCCAATGTTTTCAGCTAGTGATCAGTAGGGTGCGGCAGGTCGGGTATGAGGACAAATACTTCCTGGAGACATTGGCTAGGGGTCGCGCTATGTCGTGAATTGGCAGAAGCTAGAATTCATGGTCTGTCATTGGATCGGATCCCAGTGGCTTAATGGTCTACGAGCTCGCCTCGTAAACACGAGGTCCTGGGTTCAAACCCTAGCGATGGGTGAGAACCTCAGAAGAGTCATAAACTGGTTTTCCAATGTTTCTCTAGCGAATGTCAGCTCATGATTATTTTTTTTCGCTTGAGTTCTTAGTGGAACATAGGGCTTCAACTGCACGTCTCCACTTGCCACTTCTGTCTTCCTTCTGCTGTACTTTTCACCTGCATCCATTTTACTCCATACCCTTTCAACTCCTCTTCACACGATCTCCTCCATGTCACCCTTGCACCGACGTCCCACTCGCCTCTTCCCTTTCGGGTTCCACTCGAGCGATGGCCTGACGCGCGATGTCACCCAGAGGCGGCCTCCTCAGCGAGTGAGTGTCCAATCCACCTCCACTTTCTCCTCCATATTTGTTGGGCGAGCGACTAGTTCTTGTTTTGTTTGTTCCTTCGCATAGTTTCTTGTTGGTGATTGATTCTTTCCGGCCCGGATATCTGATCTTCAGTGTAGAGCCAGCGAAGGCAGTTGTTGGTTGATAAAAGTCTGGTCAGCAACAGGCTGTTGGAAATACCTGTTCTTTGTGACCCGCCCGCCAACTTTCTGATCCATATAGAAGAGCTGACTGACTTGACGTTGTTTGTATTGAAAATCCGACCGAATTTTGTTGTTGATGCTGGGTGAGTGATGAAGATTTCCAGATTGGTTTCAGGTTGGTTGATGAATGTGTTTCTCACTCGCCTTCCCGATTCTCGCTCGATTTGACATCCTCGTCCGTTCCGACTTCCTGTAGTTGAGACAATGCTCAATGCTAGATAAGTGAGTGAATGAAGAGACCTCTTTCTTCAAATCCCTCCCATTGATGGTGATGGTGATTGGCGCTGGATGTTGTTGTTGTTGGTTGATTATTTTCATCACCTCCGTCTTGTCTATGTTCACTTGGAGTCCTGTCTACGCCGAATGCTTCTTCGACCAGTTTGTCAGTCGTTTCCGCTTGTAAGTCTTCGATTTTGTGACAGGGACATCAAACATAAATCATCCACGCGCGAAATCCAGGTCTTCTAGGTTCTTCACGTCGGTCACTCCAGGATATTCCTGTCTTCTCGTTTCCCACTGTCTGACGCATAATCCAGTCCACCACAATTAGGAATATCATTGGTGATAATAAGCACACTTGTCTGACTCCTGTGTTTACTCCAAACGCCTTGCTGAGTTTCCGTTGTGGATCACTTGACATGTGCCGTTGTCGTACAGCTGTTGAATAAGGTTGATGAATATTTGGGGTACGCCATAGTACTCGAGTAATTTCCAAATTACTTCACGATCAACGCTGTCGAAGGCCTTCTCAAAGTCTATAAAGTTGAGGTAGAGGTTTGATTGCCATTCCATGCTTTGTTCTGTGATGATGCGTAGAGTTGCAATTTGGTCAGTACATGATTTGCCTTTCCTGAATCCAGCTTGTTCTGGTCGGAGTTCTGTCTCCAGTGCGTCCTTTAATCTCTCCAGGATGATGCGACTCAGGATTTTACTTGGCGTCGATAGGAGCATGATTCCTCGCCAGTTCTTGCAGAGTGGGCCTAAGTCGCCCTTCTTTGGTAGTTTCACGAGGTAACCTTTCCTCCAGTCAGTAGGCACCTTTCCCTCCTTCCAGACCTTTTGCAATAATGGAGTCAGCATGTCTGCTGTAGTCTCTGGGTCTGCTTTCAGTGCTTCAGGGGGTATTCCATCTGGTCCGGCTGTTTTTCCAGCTTTCAGAAGCTTGATTGCATTCAAGACTTCAGCTCTCGTTGGAGGATTGGTGTCAACTTGCAGTTGTGTGCGCGCTGTTGTTGGTATTTCTGGACGGGTTGCAGGTGATGGTCGGTTCAAGAGTCCTTTGAAGTGATCCGCCCATTGTTTAATCTGTTTTTCTTCCTTGGTAATTGGGTTCCCTTGGCTGTCTTTTATAGGTTTCGCTTGTGTTGATCTCTTCCCGGATAGAGATTTGGTTATCTGATATGATGTCCTCAGGTCCCTTTTGCCTGCTGCCTTCTCAGCTTCAGTAGCTAGATTGTCGTAGAATCGTCTTTTGTCCTTCCTAGCACTTTTTTCACTTCTTTGTCCAGTGCTGTGTAAGTTGAGCTCAGCGTCTCCTTCTCCTGTCCGTCCTTGCATTGAATCATTTTCTCTTTCACCATTCTCCTCTCTTCTATTAATTTCCAAGTGTCCGTTGAGAGCCATTCCTTGTCTTGTCTCTTCTTTCTTCCTAGAACCGTTGAACACGTTTCGTTGAGAATCGCCTTCAGAGACTTCCAATGTTCTTCCACGCATGATTCTTCAGTGATGTCGCGTAGTGTTTCCTGCTTTGCTCTGACAGTTGCAGTGAAAGTGTCTTTTGTGGTTGTGTCCTTCAGTAATTGAGTGTTGAACTTGCATTGTGGCCTATCCCCAGCTATCCTCGAGGCTTTTAGTTTCACCTTGAAAGTCCCTTCTACTAGATAGTGGTCTGAACCCACATCTGCTCCTCTCCTCGACCTTGTGTCCAGTAGGCTCCGTCTCCACTTTCTTGAAATTGAGATGAAGTCTATTTGGTTCTTGGTGTTTCCATCTGGTGAAATCCATGTCGTCTTGTGTATATCCTTGTGTTTGAAAACACTGCCACCAATCACCAAATCATTGAAGGCGCAGAAGTCTGAGAAGAGTTCACCATTGTCGTTCATTTCACCGAGGGCCTCTCGACCCATGGTGAGTTCTCTTCCTGTGTTGTCTCCTCCCAGCTTCGCATTCATGTCGCCCATCAGGATTTTGATATCGCCATTTGGGACGTTGTCCATTATTGCTTGTAGTTGTCTGTAGAACGCCTCCTTCTTCTCTTGTTCTGAGACGTTTGTAGGCGCATAGCATTGAATGACTGTAACTTTCCTTCCTTTTGAGTTGAACCTGGCTGTCATTATCCTGGAGGAGATTGGTTCCCACTGCATGAGAGCTTTGGCTGCTGTTGGTGACATCATGATGGCCACTCCCTTGGTGTGCTCGTGGTTGTCCTCTGGGTGGCCGGAAAGATTACTGTCTCTCCAGTAGGTAGTTGGCACCTTCCAGTTCCGTTCCATCTGCTCTCGCAGATTCCCAACACTTCTATTCTGTACCTTCTCATTTCAGCGGCTATCTGGGCAGCCTTTCCAGTTTCGTACATTGTACGAACATTCCAGGTACCCATCCTTACTTTTGCTTTCATCGAAAGAAGGCACATCGGCTGACTGGCTTTCCGAAGGCTAGCTTTCACCAGCCTGCGTCATTTTATTCCCCCGATTCCAGCGAAAAATAAGGTTACTGTTTATATTTTTAGAATTTTTCATATATTGGTGCATTGAAGTTTCTGTAGCGGTTTGGTTGAGTTTTGAGGGTTGGGTTTTGAGGGTGGAGTTGCTAGCACCACGCCGCAACCCTCCCTCTTTACCCGGGCTTGGAACCGGCTAGAAACCTAGCAAGCTAGTAGTCTAGGCGAGGCTAGAATACTAGAGAGCTAGTAATCCAGGCGAGGTTGTCAGCTCATGATGAAATCCTGTAATCAATCAATGAAATCCCTACAAACCAACATTTAAATAAATATCTTGGATAAATTTATCTTATTCGTTCACAACCGACCACTGTTCATTTCTCCAGCAACTACATATACTGTGTAAATTTGTATCAGTACAGTTAAGTAGACGGTGTGTTTCATTAAATTCAAAATTCTCATTCTGATTACTGGGAGTAATTGGTGTAACAACCGTTTATGAACCAGAATAAGATATTCTATATGTTGATATCAAATTAGTCAGAAGTCTATATTTAATCACTGTCCATGTTAGTGGAGTTTCTGTTAGGCAAAGGATTATTGTGGTTATGAGCAATAGTTTGTGCTTGAAACGTCCTCAGTTTATATTACTGAATAACACCGTGTGATTTATCAGAATAAAATTTTATCCATAGTGGAGCAAGGGACTCACTTATTCTGCATCTATCACATAGACCCTTTTAACTCTTGAAATTCTAATAATGTTTTCACTATTTGAATATGTCGCCTACTTAACTTTATAACTTTAAGTTACGAGTGGAACACAGAGCTTCAAGCTAGATCTCTGAAGTTTCGGTAGCAGTGGTGTTCGTTTATACTGGGTGGGGTTGCTAGCCTCATGTTTAACTTTCTTCCCTCTTTACTGGTCTTATTACAGGCTTAGCAGGGTTTAGGAGTACGCTGACCGAGAATCGAACTCCGGATCACGTGCGTCGTTGGTGGGTATTCTGTCGCAGAACCATTGACACATACATAGAAACTGCACGACTGGTATTTCTCCCCTTTATTATTTGGTAGCTGGAAGAAGTTAATTTTAAAACAGTTTATCACTGCTTGTATTATTTACTTAAACTTGCTCTAAAAATTCATATTTCCTTGGAAATAATCTTTACATATGATAAATCATCTGTGTTATTTGCTGTCTATTACCGTCAAAATTACTACATATTGTAGTTATTCATTTCACCCTTAAGTCAATTTACAAAATCATCGTACTTTGTGTACTAACGTGTCACAACGCTTTTTTTTATTATAGATACTGATACAACCGAGTGGATTAAGACACCTGTACAGCAATAGTTAACACAAATAGGCATCTCGATTTAATAACAAATATAACTATTCTATATCAACAGTTTCTACTTCACTGAGGCAGCGAAAGATGAATGCTGGCCTATGACTGTTAGGAGGATGTTATTAAACAGAAACTCACACATATTATTATTATTTCCTTTATTTCCTAGAGGAACATAGGGATTCAACCTCGCGTCCCCATTGCCTTCGGTTCTCTACCAACTTTTTCACCCCACTCCAAGTCTGCCCACATGCTTTCATCTCCTCTTCACATGACCTCCTCAAAGTCACCCTTGCACTGACGACCAACTCACCGCTTCCCTTTCGGGTTCCACTCGAGCAATGGCTTGTCTAGTGATGTCACTTGATGGTTTCCTCAGAGTATGGCCAACCCACTTCCACTTCTTCCTTCCTATTTGTTTCACAATCGGTTCCTGCTGTGTTGGTTCGCTCATTGCCAGAGATCCCTGTTGCTGATCTTTTCTGGTTCGCCATCTGATCTTGAGTATTGAGCGAAGACAGCTAGCTGTTGATGAAGGTCTGTAGTTTGTTTGAGATGCTCTTTATGACGCGCTGGTCAAGTCTCTGATCCAATCGTGTAGTAGCACTGACTTCACATTGGAGTTGAAAATCCGGATCTTATTCTTGATGCTGAGTGCTGTTGACCTCCACACAGACTTGACGTGAGAAATGAAAGCTTGTCTCGCTTTTTTGATTCTTGCTTTGATGTCCTCGTCATTTCCGTCGGCCTGTAGTTGAAACGATGCTTCCCAGGTAGGTGAAGGAGGTTGTTTCTTTCAGGTTCCTCCCATTTATGCTGGCTGATTGTTGTCTGTTGTTGTTGCTGCTGCTGTTGGCCAGGAAACTTCATCACCTATACTTTCTCTATGTTCACCTGAAGTCCTATCCTCTCCGGATTCTTCTTCTGCCAACTTGTTTCTTTTCACTTGCATATCTTCCAGTTTGTGGGAAATCAGACATACATACACACATACGCCAGATAAAATTAATCAAATAACTTATTCTGACTGCTTATATAAGGTCAAACACTCTCCCACAAGAATGTGATGTCCAAATAATAACATAAATTTGAATTGGAAACACTAACGAATGACTTAAAATGTTCATTCTAATTTTAGCTGTTTCTTATTAAATACAGAGTGTGAAGTTTCGTTGAGTGGACATAAATTTATCGAACTATTAACTGCGACTAATATCCGCATAAAACATTTCAAATGTTATCATTTGGTTATTTGTGCAAAATCTAAATACTTTAACTAATTTTGAGATTTCATAATCAAGTATCATACTTTAGTCACTTCTGTTTTCTTTGGAGCTTGCATGTAGGCTTCTTTTGTTGGTTCAGTCACATCAGTTTCATTCAGCAGGCTTAAATACAGAACGGCCTAATAAAATGTTAGCAGCCTTTTTATTTGATGAATTTATGTATATTAGTTTACGTCTATCTGTGTGACAACACACTTAGTTGGTTAACTGAATTGCTATATTTCTGGAGTTTTTTTTATTATTTTCTATTCCCTTACTTTTCCAGTGAAACATAGGGCTTCAATCTACAGACTTGAAGTTTCAGTAGCGATGGTGTTTATTTTCACGGTATGGGGTTTCTAGCCTTATACCCGATCTTCTCTCTTTACCAGTCTTATGTTTACTAGCTTAGTGAGGTAAAGGATTACACCGATAGGGAATCGAACACCGACTCACCTGCATGGCTGCCGAGCATTCTACCTCTGTGCCCCCTGACCCTGGAGTAATCCCAAACAAATAAAAAATAATTGAAACCAACAGTCCCACATCTGATAAGTACAATATTATACTTATATATCAATGAGATGCTCTCTGGCGACTGGCCCTATTCAGGTAGGTAGTTACCTGGGGTTCTAGTGGGAAGTCGTGACCAGCAGGGTGCAGCAGGTCGGGTGTGAGGACAAATACTCGCCAAAGACATTGGCTAGCGGTTGTGCTATATGGTGAATTGGCGGAAGTTGGAATTCATGAACTGGCCATTGGATAGGGTCCCAGTGGCTTAATGGTATATGAGCTCGCCTAGTAACCAGAAGGTCCTGGGTTCGGACCCTAGCAGTGGGTGCGTACTGATGAAAAGTTTCAAAGTAGGACGGAGGAAACAGCTGTCCAGTACTCCTTGATGGTCTTCCAATGGTTCTCTAACCAATGTCAGCTCATGGTGAAATCCTGTAACCAATCAACCGAATCCCTACAAACCAATACTTGAATAACAATATTAGAAAGTTTATTGGAAGTGTAGTTCAAGCTTACTTCATTTTTTCGCGAATACTTCTATTCTTATATGAACTTAAAACAAAGAACTGGAATTCAACCATTTCATAAATGCGATTAGAAACCGTTAACTGAATACACTACATTTTAATGAAGTACATCATATTTAATTAATTTTTTTGGTTTTCCCGCCGATTGATTGGACCGAAGTGCTCGGTATCAGGTTGATATGTCGGCTTCAATTCAATTAATATGACATGTTGCACAAGAGGTGGCTCTCGTCACCCAAGTGGTCTAGTGGTTAACGCTTTGACGTTTAGACTATGGGCACTGGGTTCAAGCCTCGGTGAGAGCATCATCACTCATTGGGGAATGCAGGTAGATCCAGCTGACGAGTTACAAATAGGACGAAATGCTCATCTTGGATTCCACTGCTAGTCACCATTCACCAATTGAAGTACATCATAGTTTGCTTTTCGGATACATTCGTACGTATAATCGACCAAAACACTGAACTATACTTAGTTATAAGAAAATTATAGTCATGGTCGACAATACAGAAAAGTAAGTTGTAAAAAATGAACTACAGAAAACAGGATTACGTCAACATGAGCGAAACATCAAGTAGTTAACTTAAGGGTTGAATAAGAAAGTAACACACACTAATGAGATACTAATGATAATACTGCTGATCATTCATAAGGAGCATGAGAAGCGAAACAGAAAATAGTTTCACTATAGCAGGTTTTACTTAGACATTTTATTCTTCTCCATAAAATTCTTGGCTATGCTAGATACCAAGAATTAAGGCTACTGATTTCAGTCATACAGATTTAAATTCAAACTCAATCAAAATTTTCATTTGTACCCTCATTATGTAGCAAATTGTGCGTCGGTGGCACAGCGATTAGGACGCTCGCCGATCATGCACATAGTCCTGGGTTCGATCCCCGACCGACTAACTCCTTTACCTCGCTAAGCCAGAAATAATGCTGGTAAAGAGGAAAGGTTGGGCAGCAGGCTAACAACCCCATCCTGTAAAAACAAACACTGCTACAGAAACTTCAAGCCACTAGCCTGAGGCCCTATGTTCCACTGGGAACGTAAAAGGAAAAACAAATGTAGTAAATTTATTTGATAAAAGCGCACAACAATTATAAGCAATATATAGTCCGCGAAATGTCTTCATTAAATAATACTCGTTCTCTGTATGCTTTTATTAGATGAATTTAATCTTTGATAGAATTATACTCTATCAAAGTGCTTAAATTCTATTCTTGTGATCCATATTTACCGGTTATAATTTAACCTCTGCTTATCTTTCTGTTTTTTCTTGTCCAGTGCCCGTGAAGATTTCTATGATGAATTGAAATATTGGCCCAACTCACCTATTTTTCAACGTGTATACGACTCAAGAGGCTTAATATTTTGGATACCTTTGAGAAAAGAAGAAAGTCAGTTTATTATAGTGATATGTTTTTAGATTTTAAGGCCTTGGTACATTAAATTTTGAGTATTACCTTTACTTACTGGATTTCAACATGTTCAAATTTTTACAGATACATCAAATTAAATGACCGCACTGTTGAGTTAAGCTTAAAATCAGTGAAACTTTATCCTACGCATATTTAATATAGATATGATCGAAACAGTAACTCGTGAACATATTTACTTTGGATTCTCCTAGGAAAATAGTTTCGAGTGGAACACTATTGAAGAGTAATCCGAAAAAAGTGAAAAGATATTGTTTAGATTAGAAGTAGGAGTAATCACTCCTACCATACTGATATCTGTAAACAAGACTGAATTTCTCAAAAATGAGAAGAGCAAATCATTACTTTGAGTTAAACCTCGAAAATACAAAAGATGTAAAGTCAGCATCACACAAATATTTTCGAGTGTTTTATTGTCAGAGTTATGTGTCAGTGGTTCAGTTCTAGAAGGCTAGCCAACTACGCATGTGGTCTGGGGTTCGATTTCTGGCAGACGCAGTCCTAAACCTCGCTAAGCCTGTAATAAGATTAGTAAAGAGAAAAGATTGGGCTTGAGGCTGACAACCGCACCCTGTAAAAATTAACATCACTGCTACTGAAACTTCAAAACTCTAGCTTGAAGTCCTATGTTCCACTTGGAACGTAAACGAACAAAATAAAATTCAAAAAATAAATAAAAATTGTAAGAGAATTAAATACATATTTTAATTGAGTTTTAGATTTTCCCGTCGATTGATTGGACCGAAGTGCTCGGTCTCAGGTTGACATGTCGGCTTCTCATGCCGATGCTTCGACGATGTTTGGATATGTAATTAGACCGATCACTTTGGTCCAATCAATCGACGGGAAAATCTAAAATTAAATTAATATTACCCGTTACACAAGAGGTGGCTGTCGTGGCCCAACTGGTCTAGTGGATAACTCTTTGGCGTTTGAAACTATGGGCACTGGGTTCAAGCCTCGGTGGGAACATCATCACTCACTGAGAAATGCAAGCACATCCAGATGACGAGTCCCGAATGGGACGAGGCACTTATGCTGGATTCCACTGCTAGTCACCATCCACCAATCAAATTAAATACAAAGCTTCGTAGAATTATTACTGTAGATTTGTTAGAGCGTTTAATGGTTAACTGAAAAAGTAGTATCAGGAGGTGAAAAAATTTGTTTTGTGAAAGTGCACAAACTGAAAAATAGAAAGGTTATAATAGATGATCTTATGAAGGTCTTTATTTTGTGTCGGTTTTATTTTAGGGATAAAACCCATGTTGACGGTAAAATTAGCCTATATTTACTGTATATTTTTGACCATCTGTGTCTGCTGTACAGTAGTCAACATCCTTGTTTTATTTGCTAATTATTTTGATTTCGCTTTTATAGACACAATAAAGTCAGCAGATATTCAGATAAAATCAACTGACACTCATGATTCTTCAATGCAGAATGATGCACCGAAAGCAACCGAATCATCTGTTAGTTATACAACAGTCAGTAATACCCAACAATCGGAAAGTGCATTACTTAGAGTAAAACGACAAGTAGAAACAATCCCCGAAAATAATCAGGAAGGAGAACACGAACAAGGAGAACAAGAAGGTAAAACACCAGAAGAAATAGTATTAAATAACACCAATGGTCAAAACCTTTCAAATGTGGATACTTTTCAGGCGGAAATGCTTCAAGAAGTCACTGATACAACAGATGAAGCTGAAACACTTCTAGAAGATGATGAAACGACTGATGAGTCAATAATTAGTGCTGATAAGGAGCATGAGGACCTAGTAGATAATACGCCACTACCAGCAACAATATTTACGCCACTTACAATTACACAAGGAGAATATGTATACAAAGCAGGAGGTAATTTTATTCCACTAATTTAGTTTCTTACTTGTTGCTAATACTGAATTACACGTATTGCATGCAGTTTTTCCTATTCAGTATCTCATAATGTCTTGAAAAAGCGAATACACTAATGTCAAGTGCATCACTAATCCACGAAACTGTGAGCATTTTTCTCATGTCTATTCATTATACTCAATTTGGAAAATCTATTTATAAATTTTCAAAAATTTAAACTGACTTTTGGGAGTACCTATCCCACAGAATCCAAATGATTACTTTGTAAATCTGTATTATATATATATATATATATATATATATATATATATATATATATATATATATATATATATATATATATATATATATATATATATATATATATAGGTAAAGTATCCATTATGATGCAGACTACCTCTCTTGGAGAATAGTTTTGATAAGCCTCATTTTTCTGAGCAAATTATTTAATTTCTTACCGTCCAACTAACAAGACGAAAACAGGGTGGAACACTGAAAAGATCTATCCACAGAAAGTTGACTTGGAATGGGCAGCTTACTTACTTTCACTGTTGGGTACCCCTATACACCAAACGAAACCTGATCCATTCACTCAGCTACAGAGTTCGCAGAATTTGCACCCCGGACACCGTAGAAGATTATCTGGACAATCTCCAGAGAATCCTCGTCGAGAATTGTTACTCAGAACGATTTATTACAAAATCTATGAATCCTAGACCACAAAAGCCGCCCATGCTTAACTTCCCGAAAAAACTACTCTGCATGAACCTTCAATTTAGTGGAGATATATCCGCGGAAACGCTAAAAAATTGACTGTCACGCTCACTTAAGAAGACCTTCCTCGCAGCTAAACTACGACTAATCTTCTCCATAAAACCTATGATTCATGTGAACGTGAAGGATAAGCTACCACTGTTGGCCTCACCAATGTGTATTTATCAATTCACCTGCTCGTGTGGAGCCAGGTATGTCAGCCGTACCCAGCGTTCGCTTTCCAAATGTATCACCGAACACTTACCAACATGGTTTTACAAAGGAGAAAAACGATGCCCCCACAGCTCTATCTTAGAACACCTAATAGATTCCGGACACCAAGCTACACCCCAGACAAACTTCACAGTCGTCTACAGAGTAAGAAGCAGTCTTCCTAAAGGTATACGAATCAGACTTCTTCAAACTGCAGAAGCAATGGCAATTCACTTGCTAAGTCCTGAACTCTGCATACATAAGAAGTTCGTTCAATCACTACACTTGCAATGGACGTAATCTATCTTATTATCCGACAAGTAAATTCTACCTAATCTTTTTTTCTGTCTCTTCATTAGTATTATTTGTCTTCTCAGTTGTAATATTTTGCATTTTCAACTTTCTTGTTCTCTACCCCCACCCGATTTAATTTCTACACCTCATTACCACTGTTACTGACTTGACCAACGCCCAATTTCTAGTCCTTTATGTTACGTCATCCAACTTATTTGCTCAATTTTAGTTCTAATTTAAATGGCATTATTCTCTACCCCACTTCTATTTAGTCTCTAGCTGTAATTACCTCTGTTGCTACCCTGACTTAAGTTGAAACATTTAAGTCAATTATATTACGTCATCTGACTTACTAGCTCAATCTTACTTTAGTTGCTGTCTAATTAATCTTGTTTCTATATTAGATCATTCTTGTATTACCTGATTAAATATCTAAACTTGACAAACCTCATGTACACATACGCACAAATAATTATATATAAATGCGATTGTACAGCTATGTGAATGAATTCGCCGGAAAGTCTCTTCGCTGAACGTCTTATCTTTTTATATGACTCAATGGGGATTTTCAAGCTACTCAAACTATTTAATTATCAGGTATTCGTCGTCACTCGCTTTAATGATCTGAGATATAACTAGCGCTTTCATTGTTTCGTGCATATGTCCACTGAATATACTATCCTATTGACCCGAAATCTAACTTTAACCGACTTAAAACAGATATGGAACATCAGTGCTAAGTTACTTTTAGAGTAGTTACCTTATTTTGTCTTCAGTTACGTCTCCTTTATCTTACAGGATTGCAACAGCTGTGTTTTTGTCATTCTCTTCTTATCTACTCAACTTTGTAATTTATTTTGTTGAGACATGATGTTTAAGAGACATTCTGATACAACTTAAGGAGTTTAATTATTTTTCACAAAAGTTTCGAGCTGTTTTTTTATGAAGCATATCGTTAAGGTGAGATAATAATGATGTATCATTTTTATGTACTGGTTTTCTGTTCATACATTTTAATCTAGTCATGGGTATCACATTTGAACCAGAATATCTTTCCAAACAACTTGCTATGGTTTCAGACTGTTCGGACACATCTTCAAATAAACTATGTTATTTACTAGAAGATGCAGCAAATATTGTTGCTGTCAATAATAATTCGTTTTATCATCAGGTATGGGACTTGTTTTCTTCTACTGTTTTTAATATAACTTTTGGTATTTATACTTTTGAGTATTTTTAAAGATATCCAGGTGTTAATGTCATGGTTGCTTTTCGTTTTAAGAGAGAACTTTAGACTGTTTAGCGTTAATTACAGACTGTGCTATTTTGCTCAGCCTTAACAAATTTATCCCTGAATTAATTCACACATTCTTATCCCATGCTTTGAAATTCACTGTTGACTCCTAATTCGCCTGTTCACAACGTTCATAGTGTGAGAAGTAATCATTGGTACTTCTTGCAGGACCTCCGAAATAGGTCATAAATTCTCATCAAATCTCTAGATACTGCATCAACCATTAGCAAAGTGGTGTATAAGTAAGTACTTTTGAAAAAATTGACACTATCTCTTTCACTTTCGACAGACCAGTAATTCTTACTGATTATCCGTGCTATTTAAAAGTTTTTTAGGCTTTCAAGGTCCTCTCAGAGTCAAAAGCTATTGACTTTCGTGAAGCAGGACAAAAACGACTCTTAGGTCACCAATAATATACAAAGCTGCATGACTGACAATATAAATTCCGTAATTCTAAATTTTTTTACTAATTAGGCTTTCTTGTGGAAATATGTCTGAGTTTCAGTAAGTCTCGAAGACTTAAATTCTATTTGGAAATACAGGTATAACTGTGTGTTGAGAAAAAAAGTGAAAATAAATGATAAGTTTAAATTCACATGAAAATCCTGAAAACTGGTATTTGACCAAATATTAAATAACTTGAGTTTGTTGTCGTTTTAAAAGTTTCACGACTTGGCGATTTTTAGCATTCTTCTTTATTTTCAAGGATTAGTTTGTAGGTATTCTATTTGTTTCAGGTTAGACCATGGATTGATATCATTTAGAGAACTGTTGAAAACCAGGGGGTACTGGAGTCCTAGTTTGGGACTCTTCTCAGTACGCTGGGTTTCGAACCCAGGACCTTTTGGTTACAAGGAAATCTCGTATACCATTCAGCCACTGGGACTCGATACAGTGGTCCTGTGACTGATATCAATCCGCAGTCTAACTTAAAACATACAGAATCCCTACAAACTTATTCTTGAAAATTAATCTGATGCTCTGACTGGCCACAGGACTAAGTTGCTCAAAGTTTTGTTGAGAAGTCCTGACGGGGGAAGTTCATCCAGTTTGGAGCGAGTAAGAAATTCCTGCCAATGACATTGGTTGGTGTTCGCTCTAGTATCACGAATCGGTAGAAGTTAGAAATGATGAGCTGGCCACTGTATTGTGTCCCATAGGCTGAATGGTAAACGAACTTGCCTTGTAACCATCAGGTCCTGGGTTTGAACCCCCAAGGTGGGTGTTTACTGCCGATGAGTCCCAAACTAATGCTTCTCTAAATGATATCAACTCTTGTTTATGTCATGAAGTCTATGTTTGATTCTTTGAGGAGTAGAAATTGTTACTGGTACATACATTTAACCCCTCAGTCCAGGAAATGTAGAAGTGAATAACTACATAGACATAAATGCGTTGCAGAATGTATGGTCACTTTACTTTTAATTTTGAAATATATTTACCTTACTAAATATATGTTTCCATATTCATCTGTGTGTGACCTGTAATTCATAAAATTAGAGATTTTATGGTTTAAAGAATATCGGAAGCTTGAACCAAGTAATTTTTGAATCTATAGTTTGAATTGAAAATCAAGTAGAAAACTATTTGGAAAAGTTTCACTGTACATTTTGCAGAAAACAGAGGGATTTAGAATGCAACGAAGACTACTGTAGTATAAACGGAGTGTATGTGATGGTCGATAGAGTTACATAAACTATCTTACCGAATTCTAGGAAAATTTTCAAGTCAATTAAAATTATTGGAAATACATTCTGCCTGAGTGGGCTTTACTTGAATATCGAATGGAAGTTTGGGGAATATGAACTTTTGCGCTGTATAAATTTTAGCATAAAACAATTGTGTTTTTAAACTTTTTCAGATTGGTAAATTTCTGGGGCATGTTGATCCGGAGCTAATGAGTTCTTTAATTCAAAATCATGTTTATGGAGTGTAAGTTTTTAGCTTATTATATTTTGATGTTGGTTATCTGATATATCTGTATTCTTTGTCATCGTCACATATATTTATTCAAGAATTAATCGACCGGCTGGTCTAAAATATGTCTGTAACAACAGGAGGTCATATATAGCTGATTCCTGTATAAGCTTGGTGAAGCTTTTACACAGATTTTATAATTAATAGCATGATTTAATGTTTTACTCTAAAGTTATAGTATGGAGAAGATTTGTAGCTCATGTGGATGATTTTGAATTAGTTGTGTTCTCTGAACTAGTTGATTTAATTGCGAAGCTTTCGTCGCAGAAGACGTTGTCTAAAGGAATGACGAAAGCTCTGCATTTAAATCAAGTATTTCAGAGAACACAAGGTTATAGTATATTCATTAAGAAAAAAACTCATTCATACATTTCCCAACGACTCTGATTTTTCTCAGACACTTGTAAAAATTTTCGACCAGTGATTTTAAGATACTTTGAGATTGAATACTTACATGGGTTTTTGCTGAAAGTCTCTTGAAGTGCAGTAAAATGTTGTATGGTTTCAAGTATTCTCGGTAGATCTTTCTGTAAACTGAAAGTTTTCACTTTTATTCCTTGAACTCTTAGAAGTAATATAATTAATTCACTAGTGTTTCCGAATAAGAGAAATGTAAAATATGTGTAAATTTAGATAAGCTAATAACATGTATCCAGTGAAAATTGAACATTGAATGAATTGCTACATAAAAGAATGTATGTGGTAAGACGCAGTGAATACAGAGGTGCCATCATCTCTCGTAATAATAATAATAATAATAATTTGCTTTATTCCAAAACAGTACTTGTGATACAGAATGGAATTCTCAGCATTTTGCTACAGTATTGCATCCAGTTAGTACATCATAAACAAATAAAGTTCTACATAGATTAAGGGTAATCTAAGTTAGTTTTAACACCAACATATTGGCATTTCGGTAGCAAAGCCAAAATTGAGCAGAGTATTTGAAGGTGTTAGAAAAGTAGATGCTAGCATATTTACTGGCGTAACCGGTAACAAAACGGTCGAGATATACAGAGTGTGAAAGAACGAAGAAGAATGTTTTAATAGAGTTTGTAAGGAAGAAAGAAACAAAGCAGCACATAACAGAAAAAAGGGAAAGAGGAAAGAAAAAGAAAGAAAGAAAATGTTGTAATGATATGAGTTGGGAAGACGAGATCCACTTGTTCTACTGACTATTTAATAAGTTATAGGTATCACGCCTAATGCTTTCTTTATCTCATAGAATACGAGCTAAGTAGGGTATAGTTGAGTTTTTGTACTTACTAGTGCGAGCATATAGTTTTCTATATAGGCTTCTAGTTTTGCCTGGTGAGATACAAGGGGAGAGTTGTGAATGAAGAGGATGGTGTGAGTTAGATAAAATGGATTTAGCCCATTTTTCACATGAGTCCAAGTGCCCGTCGACCAGAATATTAACAAGCTGGTTAAGTGGCACGTTGCTCACCCTGCTGACAACCTTCAGCATCCTACGTAATAAGGTATAGTCTTTCTTCAGTAGCCCCGGAAAAATTAAGTGGAGGGGGGTGTAATAGAGAATAATAGGCAGAATGCAAGAGTTAACGGATTGTAGGAGTAAGGGTTGGGTTATTCCAGAATGTCTTAACTTCTTGATGTAGAAGGTAAGACGGAATATTTTCTTAGAAATCATCAAGATATGAAACGATCAGGAAAGATCAGCAGATAGAGTGATGCCTAGATATTTATTTTCCGACTTGGTTTCCATTTCAGTGCCATCTATGTTGCACACCTCATGAGTGCTAACCAGTTTTTTTAGGTCAGATTTATGCCTAAAGGTGAAATTGACTGTTTGGCATTTGGAGGGGTTTAAGGTAAGACCGTTTTCCTTGGACCACTGGCTGATTTCTGATAAAAAGCCATTTAGTTTAGAGCAGTGACTTTGACATTTAACAGGCAAAGATACAGTGAAATTGTCAGCATATTTGACAAAATTAATTTCATTTGAACATGGTAAGTCATGTAGAAAGAAAGAAAGAAAAGAGAAGTAGGGAGAATACAGCACCTTAGGGGACACCAGCTTCTCTCATGATTCTTCTTGCTTCTGAACACGGTCTGTGTTTGACCACAACATTTGAATCTGCTTTGTAAATAGCTTTATTAACAGAAACTATCAATAAAATGTGAAAGGAACACATAACTAGTCTGTAACTCCTCTTTCATTTATCATTGCCGAATTGTCTGAATTTTTACATTGATGTTTCTTACTTTAGTTTAAAGGATTACGACTTTGAAGGAACCTGTTATCCAAGAGAAGATAAATCTGAATCAACTTCACCTGCTATGCATCCAATACCGGTAAACTACCTAATTTTTATAATGGTCACATTCTGTAGTTCTTATTATTATTATATGACTTCAAAATCATAAATAATGTTCATACTGTAAAGAATTAACGCTTCAAACGCTTCCTTACTTTGAAATTTATGCACAAATTTTAATGTTGCCGTTTTAATTTCTTTCGCTGTGGAGTTAGGGATTAATGGGGTTATACCACTCGATTCCAAAACATTCGGTTTTGGGGTTGAAGGAAGGAAGATTCGAATACTAAACGTTAATTCATGAGAAAAACCAAACTAGGCATTTAGATAACTGATGCATATCACATAAAAAAAGTATTTTTACGAGTTGATCACAGATGGATATCAGTTAGAGAACAATTGAAAACCAGCCACAGGGAGTAGTGGACAGCTGCTGTTTCATCCTAGTTTGGGAATCATCGGCAGTACGCACCCACCTCCAGGGTTCGAACCCAGGACCTTCCGGTTACAAGGAAAGCTGGCTCGTATACCATTCAGCCACTGGGACCCGATTCAGTGGCTAGCTCATCAAGTCTAACTTCTACCAATTCGTGGTTTAGCGCGACCCCAACCATTGTCGTTGGTGGGATATCCATCCACACACTTGACATCTAATTGGACCACACTGGTCACGACTTCTCACTAAAACTCCAGGAAACTCTAACCTGTAGCAAGTCACTAGCTCATGAATTCATGAGCCACTGAATCGGGTCCCAGTGGCTGAATGGTATACGAGCCAGCTTTCCTTGTAACCGGAAGGTCCTGAGTTTGAAGCTTGGCAGTGGGTGCGTACTGCCGATGATTCCCAAACTAGGATGAAACAGCAGCTGTCCACTACTCCCTGTGGCTGGTTTTCAATTTTTCTCTAACTGATATCAATCTGTGATCAACTCGTAAAAACATAACTAACCCTTACAAACCAAAAACTATAGAAAAATAAAAAAGTATACTTATTAATTTGGCACATAAAAATCTACTCTGAGTAGCTGCGTTATGACTAACTAATATGAATAAGAGAAGGCTTACCTTTACAAAAATTTGTGTAGATTGGACCCATCTTTTTCAACATAAATGCTTATTGATAATTAATAGTTCTTCTCAATATGCAGACACATGTGACAGTGTGGTAGAGAAAACTTTGTACAGGCATGGTGAAACTTGACTTGTCGATATGAAATGGTTTATGTTTAGACTAGCGTTTTCTTAATCTCATCAAACGGATATTTGCACGATATATATATATGCATATCTGAATGGCTTTTATACGAGAAAACCCATGGCGGTGATTTTCTTGAGAATAAATTGGTTAAAATGGAGAAAAACTATATAAGCGTTTTTAAACCTTGACATCATATAAACAATCGTGTGGCATCTAGTTAAGTTCTTAAAGAGACTAATTGGCTTTACTAATACAGCATTTCTGGAGCATACTAGGAAAGACCCACTATCAGGTTACTCTATGCAAAATTAACTCATAGCCTTCAAGTCTTTTTTGTAGTCATTCTTTTTGAAATAAATATCTTCCATTATCTAAGAAAATACTCAACACAAAATCTCATTTCCAAATAAGCTGAATATGTCAAATATCCAAGCCGTGTGATATTTAATCACCTCATTGTAAAGAAGTAAAGAAATTCAAAGGAAGCATGAATCCAATTCAATCTTGCCGAAAAAGGAGTCTTATTTAGTAATTTGTGCAATCTGTTATCAATACAGAACTGACTGTACAATTAATTTGCGTTATCCAACTTAAATAATGATGAATCTAAAAGGATAGAGACAGGCAACATATGTGGTGGTGATTTGACCTAAACATGAATACATTCGCAATAAAAAAAGACGCTTATAACAAGACTAACAGAAGCTTTAAAATTTTTTCAATGGTGTCTTTAAATTGACCATTCTGTAAGTCTTAGCTTCCATGAATTGCTAACCCTTACTAATTTTGCAACCTGTTATTACTGTGATGTGGACGGAGATTTTCTAACAGGTTCTATGAAGTTGATGTGTGGACTTGTAATTATGCAATTTTGATGCACATTTTTTCCGTCTTTAGATATTAGTTCGTTAAAGATCTTTATGCGACTACGTTGTTCACAATAAACTAAAAACAAATCCAATTTTTCCTCCATCCTCATGCAGTAGTGAATTATTTTAGTGAGACTTTTTGCTTAGAAATGAGTTTTTCGGAATTATAAGAAGACTATTTTTGAACACACTAGACCACTTTAGTAGATTATGAAGCATCTTTACAGTTTATCGACGGTTTTTGACCTGCGACTAGACTAAGACATTATAAAGTTCTTTACTTTTCACACTTCAGCCCTACTTATTGTTTAGTTTCGGTCAAAAAAACTCAGCTGTAACTGTTTTTATGTTGACAGTAACATAGAATTATGTACAGCTTGATTTTTCGACAAAACTTATATCATGATTCTGTTGAAATTAATGCCTCTGAATTCTGATTTTTCTTCCTAGTCTATTCTCATAAATACAAGAAATATATTCAGCATTCGTTTATGGTTCGACTGGTTACTAACTTTTAGCTCATTGAGTCTGTTTATTACACGGTGAGTTCAATTGATTTATCAAAACTTCACGTAGTCGTATTTCTTTTGATTTTAAACTGAATCTTTTGGGTTTTTTTTGGTGAATCAAGTAATACACGTACCACTGCTCATTCGTTTTCAATAAGTCTTTGTAAAACTTGAGAATTTCAAAATACACTACTCTAGGACGCAATCATTTTGTAAGGGGTATCCTGCTTATTAAGAAACTTATCAACAAATTGACATAACTGCACATCTTTTTCAGGTAACCAAACATCAGATATTTACAGCAGAATTCATCAGCAGTGGTAACAAAAATTAAGATAATGACACTGCAGTCAAAACAGATAGGAGACCGAAATAGATGATGGAAAAAGTAAAGATGCATGACAGTAAGTTGTTTGATGTTAACTAAATGGCTAAACGCTACCGATATGTCCTTTCAACTTATTGTTATTATTTTACTATTGTTCTCTTGGATTCCGCGAGTGGAACATAGGGCTTCAACAAGACATTTTCCCTTTGTCCTATTCTCTGAGATCTTCTTTAGCTAGGCCTACGATTGCCCATAATCTCTCATCTCCTCCTCACACTATTTCTTCCATGTCACCGTCGGACCCACACCCGACCTATCGTTCCCCACTCAGGATTCACTAGACCGAGAGTCTGACGTGCACAATGTCTTCGGAAAGTCTTCTCAGTGTGTACCCAATCCATCTCCATTTTCTCTTACATATTTGTTGAGCAATCGGTTCTTGGTTGGTTTGTTGCCAGCCAGAGTTTCTTGTTGCTAATTCTTTCCATTGGCCATTTGACCTTCAGTATGGAGCCAGTGTAGGCAGCTGTTGGTATAAGTCTGCAGCTGACTGTTCGAAATGGTTTTCTTGGCGCACCAAGTTTCTGACCCATATAGAAGCACTATCTGACTTCACATTTTATTTGAAATCTGATACTCGTTCTTTATCCCGAGTTCGTTCAGTAGATTTCCAAATCAATTTCAGGTTGATGGAGGTGTATGTAGCCTCTTAGGTTCTGACTTTCACATCTTCATCCGTTCCGCCTGTAGTTGAAACGACGCTTCCTGATCAGATAAGTGAAGCAAGTTACCTTCTTCAAATTTTACTCCGTTGAAAGTGATTGGTGCTGTTTGTTGATTATCGTTATCACCTCCGTCTTCTTCTATGCTCATCTGGTGTCCTGTCTTCGCTGCCTTCTTCTTCTTCTTCAGCTTTTCCCCTACAAGTCTACGAGTTTGTGTGACAATAAACACAAATTATCCATGCTTGAAATACAGATCTTCTCAAGTCTTCTTATCATTCATTGCTGACGCATAATGAAGGCCACCACAATTAAGAACATTATCGGTGATAGTAGTTGACAGCCTTGTCTTATTCCTGTGTTCACTTCGAACGCTCCACTGGGTTTTCCGTTGTGGATCAGCAGATTTTAATTTATGATTCTTGACCAATACATACCCATAACTTCACCAGAAATTGAACTACCGGCTGTAACGTTTCGATGCAAAAATATTAATGTTGCAGTACTGAAGTTCAGTTGATAAATCTTATTTTGAAATCAACCAAATCCTTGCAGTGTCAACGTCTAGATATGAATATATTTCTCATTACTGAGTATATTTAAGTTGGTGCATTGAAATTCCTATGCAAAGTCATCATATCAGGTGTACAGACAGACATTGACTACTCAATTTGGAAAATCTTGACGTTGTTTTTATGGATTCACACAAATGTATAATTTAAAACCATTGTATTCAGATCCTGTGGTGGGATGGTAATATGATTGCCCGGTAATCTGATTATCATTTTATCGCCTCCTCAAGAGTTATTGATAAATACTCATGAATCTAAAACATGAAAGTATTTTGTGATTTGGCACGATCCAATATAATTTTTGTTGAGACGCACTCCTGAATCATCTAAACACTATCAGGATTATTATTTTTCTAGCTTTCAACAGCCGTATTAAACCTCAGTTCTGCATAGCTCAATCATTTTTCTTTTATTTTCATTCAGACGCTGTCTTAATTTTTCTATACTCTTTTCCTTGTCTATTCAAGTTTATACTGATTAATCAGCCACGAAACTTACCACCAACTTACAAATTTTCACATATAATTAAGCCAAAAAATTTGGCTAAAGAGCTTTTTCTTCGTTAAAAACACCATGTCTCATAAATCTGATTACCTTGTGTTTCCATCTTGGTGACTAAACTATAGCAGCCGAAAGCGAAACTGTCTAATAAAGGCTTTAACAAATCTCTATCAACCAATTAGATAAGTCCAAAGCAGAAGTGCGTAATTTGAAATATACTTATATATATAATAGTAGTATAATGTTAAAAGGTAGTTTACATAGGATAACTTCATTGTATATGTTGCAAGAAAACGTCCCATCTTCTCCTAGGTGTCCTCATGGTTAGACCAAGCCAATTTCTGCACATAAATTCGTCGAGATAATTATAAATCATCCCGTCTCCTAACTCATTCACCACTCTGATCCTCCTTTTTAGTTGAATCTAGAAACTTTCGATGGGTTCTGTGTGGATATCATTGAAATGATTAACAAGATAGTCCGTATTGTTGACCACGTTACGAATATAACCCAGGGATGACAGTTGGCTACATGTTTTCTCCCTTCGAATGAGCTTGTTGTCTAGGCAGTACTTCAAATACTAGACTTGGATAAAATTCGCCACGTTGTTAGTCTATAGTATCCATAATTCCGTCTCTGTACAAAGGACTCATATAGCCGGTAGCTCAAAGTCATCAGTCCGTTCATTAGATAGTTTCGTTTTGGGCTGCTATAGTTAAGAGTCTCCCTTTCTTTTCCCGTCTGTATCTTTTTAACGTCTTTCGCAATGGTTAAACACCTAGATCTCAAAATATTAATAAGACTTAATACTGTTTTTTGCTTTATTCTAGATCACTCATCACTGGTATGATAACAAGTATAGGTAAGTTGAATTTAAATGCATATAAAATATCGAGTTGAACTAGGGATTCTTCGAACTAAACTAATAGTCGCCACTGAGTTGTGAATCAAAGACTGCTGCAACGAATGTCGCGTTTTTGTTATGATTTCGTCTTCTTAGTTGTATAATCGTATTCATATATGGATTACAGTAGACAATAAGAAGTATGTTTGTTGCGTATTTGACCATTTTGAAAATAAGTGAAAATATTGGAGTATGATTATTGTGACTTCAGCTTTTTTATGTGCTGTGTTTGTTCGTCAGCAGTTTGTTATTCCATATTGCTACTTCTCAGTGAGAAATTTTTATCTTTATATTTCTAGTTTCAGGTGACATGAGGAATGATGTAGATCCGCAGAATAAACCATATCCATGTATTCAGTTAATTAATCGTTATTATTCAATGAACAGTCCGATATATGATACAAGAAATTCACCATTGAATATGGATTCTACTCACATATTTCGAGGTTTTATCCATTGCTCTTTAGAACGTAACAGAGATTGGTCAGCACAATCGATTAGTGGTACAAATTTGCATCTAATAATCACAGATCCAATATTTGATGAATGTGACACATCTGTAGAACGATTACAACGTGATCCAATAAAAGGTTAGTTGTGTATTTTGCTTGGTTGCTTTTTACCTCGAAATAGTTCTATGTATATGATAATTTCTGCAAAGCAGTTTAAATTTTAATTTACTTCCCTTTCATTCTCGTGTAATTTCTGTATAAATGTTGCAGTAATGCACTAATCGGTTAATTTATCCTTTATACAATCCAAACATTCTTAGGGTAAGTTTGCACTAAAACAGAAACCAGAGGATTCGGATAATACGTTGTGTCATTCATATAATATGACTACACCGCTTTATTTTATAAAGATAGTATTGCATGGAAATTACCTTGACTATCAGTATATCTTAACGTTTTTACCCTATTGCTTTGATCCTTACTTTTGTAAGAGTGGTACTGACTTAGGGTAGATCTCAGTAATGAACACTCTTGCAAAAACTTCACCAAATTATGCTCTTAGCTGTACTCTACCTAACGTGTAAATATTGACGAACGAAATCAGAGTAAAAATACTCGATATGATTAGTGTGTCTGAACAGAGTTATATTTTATACAAATGAGATATGAAACTTGATAAATAGGGAGTTTATAGAACTTATCTGGTGCCTTGATTGTTCGTAGGCTCGGGGAGTGCACTGAATGAAAGCTGAACAGGAGAGCGAACCAGATGTGTCCAACAGAGTTAAAACTCAAAAGATGCAAAAGTGCCAAACGAGTGGGTGAGTGTGTATTCAAACAAAAGTTCAAGGGTTCAATGTGCACTACACTTCCGCTCAAGTTGATAAGACAAATGAGTATATATGCTTCCAGGTACACGAAAATGATAACAAGTTCCAACAAAACCCATGATTGACAGATTTCGATGACCATTTTTGAAGACAATTTTGGATTCTTAGCCAATTAGGCATTTAGACTAATCTGAATGTGTGACCATAAGTGCCTATGAGATAATTCTTGCCTTCTTCTAATATAATTCTTGTTCATTAGTCAGAATTTCACATGACTATCTAATACAGATACTTAACTAATGCTTTAAAAAGATCGCCAGTATTCTACTTCCCGTTATCTTGATAACTTTATTTACTTTTTTCTTCAGATTCTGGTCCAGACGTTTGCGGAGCATCACGTGCTCCACGTTATCGTAGGCAATCAAAAAAGTGGACATTAGTTCCTCCTGATGATGAAGTAGAAATACCAACTCACTGTTCCGCAGCAAACTCACTACACAAGCCATCACTTATTATATATTCATTTATTTCATTGTTCACACTCACCTATCACATTTATTAACTGCTCAACCTGATTACCTTAATTTTGTAGATAAATATTTTCTTTGATTTGAAGGATAAACGTTTATTAAACAAGAGTGATATTCACTAAAACATCTTGTGCTGTTTACTACAAAACAAATACTTCATAAAGAAGTAAAAAATCAAAGTATCAGGCATTGCATGTCAGTGTAAATACTTACATTCACTCCACTCACTGAAACTATTCATCTTGATTTTTGTGTTTGAGAGAACTTACTGGTACTTAAAGATTTACTAGAAGTTTTGAGTGCTTCTATTTCTTGAAGTATTCTCGGTTATCTTCATGACTCTATTATACTTGAACATTTCTGGATTTATTTTTCTCCTTTTACCTACAAGAAATTGATTTTAAACTTTCCATATTAATAGAACTGCAGTTATTATTGCCTCTGAAATATCAGTTACAAATAAACGTTGAAAAAATATTTTTGTTTGTTTTAGAACACTTCATGGTATTAGGTTACTATTCTATGTTTTATGGTACACATTATTCATGAATTCTGTGAACATATTTACAAATTGGGTCTTGACTTGTTCTGTATTATAGGAACGCTGAGGACTAAGGGCTCTAATTAGTGTTGAATGATATATATATATTCAGGAATTTTTGTCTGAGAAATCATGGATATGTATCGGTAGGTAATTCCACAGAAATATTATCCACAGCATTAATCAGTGGACATTGGAGGCTGACCCTCACTCTTTAAGTTAATTCGTTTAGCTGAAGGCTTACGGTCAAACATCTATGCCATTTGGCAAGCCGTCGAGTTACTTTAGTTCGTTCATGCATGATTCCTAGCTACTTAGACAGTCATCCTCACACTCCGATTTGTTCCTGGAATATACTTCAAAATTCAGACGACCATTTCTGGTGTTTTTCTTTGTCCTCGGTCTACGCGGGACGAATACTAGAGAAGTTGGGGGTATTAGATCTTGCGTTGTTATACCTCAGCCTGTAAACCGGTGAGTTCCATCCAATTTCTAGTATCGTTCTTACGAGCTAGTGTAAACGAAATTTATTTCTTTGTGCTCGCCTCTTGCCTATGAGGTAAAGGTTCCTGGTCTTCTGTAAACTTCTGCATAGTTCGTCCCACCACTTGACTGTCGTAGCTTTGGTTGAATCCAAAAAGAGTAGTGCTGGGATCAATTATATGTCGTTTGTAGTGTGCGATGTGTTAAAACTTTGTTACTACTGTTAATGGAGTTGGTTCTTCCACCAGTTAGTCTTCCGGTATAACAGCTATAAATATTGTGGGTTATTCAGACTGAAAGAGAGAAGAAATACAGAAAACGAAAAAAGCCAATTAAGTTTGAAGTTGATATATATATATATATATTATATCAGTAATAATAAGTGTAAGTGTAATAGTTGGATTGGTCAGGGGAATAAGATGGGAGAGAATGCAAAGAAGTGAAACAATGAATTTAGTTGTCTGCCCATGAATAGTGTGTGGGATGTTAGGAGGATGGGCCATTTGGACGCAGTCCTTGTGTCGCTGCATGATTCTTCAGCCTTCGCTTAAAGGTGTCCACAGACTGTGCCATAGATACATCTACTGGTAATGAGTTCCAGGGATGGCAAACCCGCAATGAAAAGAATTGGGAACTGTGGTGATTGACTATTTCTATCTCTGTATTGTTCAAATACTTACTGTTGATTGTTAATATATTTCTTATATGAATTGCATTACAATTCCGCTAAATACAAATTCCTGAATTCCGCCCTCTCTGTGTTTTGGTTGGATTCTTGTAATTCGGTCATCTCGAAATACTAATATTACGATTACAAATGATTACAACAAATTGGCGTCGCGATGGAACTAAATAACCTTGGAAAATTTCCTATAAATGGTTCACCGCGGGAAATTGCTAATTATCTTGAATGCTTCGATGTATGGTGCATTTCAAAGAACGTTCGAGATGACGAAATTCCAGCTCATTTCATTACTGCTATAGAGCTAGATGCATATAGCCTAGTGGGCTGAAATTATCCAGCATGCTCAAGGTCATTAACGGAGTGAGACGCTCAAAGGTCATTTTCGTCCATATTAGTCGGCCATGTTGGATTGCATTTCCATAGCCGTTCGTTTACACATCGGTTTTCCCGTTTATCCTGCATTTATTCACAACTTATCTTGATGCGCTGATAGGATCCCACACATTTTTGGTATTAACTGTTAATCTTGTATATATGGTATATTATCATTCTCACACATTTTGGTAGTGACTGTTAATCTTGCATATACGGTATATTATCATTCCCACACATTTTGTTATTGACTGTCAATCTCGCACATATGGTATATTATCATCTCTCACGCACTTTGTTATTGGCTATTAAGATAAATTATTTCAAATGCTGTTAGCTGTCCATATTGTTGTAAAATGTATAAATACCATGGCTTTCTTTGTCGTTGTTGCACTCCAATACACAGTCACAGTCCAGCCTTTGTCTTTTGATATTTGCGTGCTTTACTAAATCGGAAGGTACGACAAGCAGATAGGCAGATTAGTTCAGGCGCAGACAGAGCAAGGTGAAAACGTCTTCATTGAATTCCCTACAGCTATAACAAATTGGCGACGGGGTTTTACCTTAATTCAGTGAAGTTATAACAAATTGGCGACGGGGTTTACCTTAACTCATTGCAGTTATAGCAAGCAAACGACGACAGTTTTTATTCTGTTCAGCGCAGCTATATAACATTTTTGACTGTGTTAATTACAACCCAATTACAATGTCTATCTCTCTGGACGATCTCAAATCTATCTTGCAGCAGCAGCAAGTTCAGAATGAAGCAGCTCAACTAAAATTAATCGAAGCTCTCACTCAGAAGCTGTCCATTCAAGTTCCATCAACATCTCATTCTGACAAATATGAAAGCATCTCAAATTCCATCAGTGAGTTCAACTACGACCCAATATCTGGTCTCGTATTTGATGCATGGTTCAATCGTTACGAAGACGTTTTCCGTATTGAATGCTACATGTTTGATGATGCTGCCAAAGTCCGATTGTTACTAAGAAAACTTGGTACTGTTGAGCACAACAGATATGTTAACTTCATTCTGCCTAAGAACCCACGTGAGTTATCATTCGATGAGACAGTCACCGTTTTATCACAAATCTTTGGTGAACAGTCATCCATGTTTAATATTCGGTATCAATGTTTTCAGTTGACAAAAATGCCTTCCGATGATTATGTGACTTACGCTGGCAAAGTGAACAAGGAATGTGAAAGGTTCAAACCACACGAAATGACATCAGATCAGTTCAAGTGTTTGATTTTTATTTGTGGGTTGAAGAACCCAGAAGATACTGACATACGAACTCGACTTCTGTCACTTGTGGAACAAGACCCGAAAATGACTTTACAAATGGTGACAGCAGAATGCCTACGTTTAATCAACTTGAAGCACGATACTGCTATGGTGGAGTGCAAACGACAGTCGTCTGAATTTGGTTCGATTAACACAGTGAAAAGTCCTCCGATCACCGTTAAGCACACAGAACGTCAGTCTCAAAATTCAGCTAAACCTCCTTCAGTGTGCTGGCACTGTGGTTCGTGGCATTTTGTCAAGTTCTGTCCTTTCAAGAAACATAAATGCCGTAATTGTCACCGTTTTGGACATAAGGAGGGTTACTGTACACCGCAGAAAAATTCTTCGGTGAGGAACAGAAGTAGTCGTTTCAAGCCGAAACAATCTCCTCGAGTACAGACCATTTTCACAACTTCCAAAGTCGATTTCGCCAGCAAACGTAAGTACATTACACTAGGTATTAATGGCAAACATATCCGTCTTCAGTTGGATACGGCATCAGATATTACCTTAATTTCCCGAACTACGTGGCGCATACTTGGGTGCCCACAGATTCTGCCGACCGAGCATGTCGCTAAGAATGCCTCTGGAGATATACTGAAACTCGTGGGTGAGATAAATTGCCAGGTTCAGTTTGGTGAGCATCACTTCAATGGTGTATGTTACGTTACAAACTACCATGATTTGAATTTGCTTGGTCTTGACTGGTTAGACAAGCTCCATATCTTTAATGTACCATTAAATTCAGTATGCTCTAATGTTTCGTCCTCACCACACAACGTTGTTCCCGGAGATGTATCTGATCAATCTCTCTTGCAACGCCTTCGTCAAAAGCACGCTTCTGTCTTCCAGGACAAACTTGGTTGCTGCAAATTTACCCAAGTTGTTTTGTCTCTAAAGCCAAACGCGAAGCCAATTTTTCGTCCAAAACGTCCAGTTCCGTATGCTGCTGTCACATTGGTTGAGAATGAACTCGACAGACTGGAAGCATTGGGTGTCATCAAACCAGTAACGTATTCGCCCTGGGCTGCTCCGATAGTTGTTGTACGCAAAGCAAATGGTTCCATTCGCCTGTGTGCAGATTTCTCAACTGGGTTAAATGATGCTCTAGAGGACCATGCTTATCCATTACCAATTCAAGAAGACTTATTCGTCAAACTTAATGGTGGAAAATGTTTTGCAAAAATTGACCTTGCTGATGCTTATCTTCAAATAGAAGTTGAACCAAAGTCTCAAGAGTTGCTAACAATCAACACTCATAGAGGTCTCTACCAGTTTACTCGCTTACCATTTGGTGTGAAACCAGCACCCGCAATTTTTCAGCAGATCATGGATACTATGCTTGCTAACCAACCTGGTGTTGCTGTCTACCTCGACGATGTGATAATCACAGGGAGTAGTAAGTCTGAATTGTTTGATCGACTTGACGCTGTGCTATCCAAAATGTCAGAGTTTGGGTTCTACCTTAAAGAGGATAAATGTACATTTTTCATGGATTCAGTAAAGTATCTTGGGTTCATTTTCGATCAACATGGACGTCGACCAGACCCAGAAAATGTACGTGCTATTCAGAATATGCCCGCTCCCACTAATGTTGCCACTCTGCGATCTTTCCTTGGCCTCATCAGCTATTACAGTGCATTTCTACCAGAGCTTCATCACA